GGAAAAGAAAATACAGTAAGATGCACAAGGCAGTAACTACTGGAGAGGTTCATTCAAGCACATGTGCTTCCCCAGTCTTCTGCGATGAGTGATTTCTGGAACCATAAAATGTGCTGAAAGGCTTTCATCCCTCAGAATCGAGTGCACTTGTACATTTTACAGACGAGATCCAGTTACATTAGCTGACTCACCTACGATGGTACTCTCCACAGTCTCCTATCAGTAAATGATACTGTATCAAACAATTGAGGGCGAGTCTGTTCTTCACAACACGGTCCTATATTTCTGTTCTCCTCGTTACCCTCAAGGCCTATTCCAGCCGTATCTGTGATGTACTACGTGCTGGCAGAGCTCCCCCTCTGTACAACCTCAAGCCCAGCGCGCGCCTCCCGCGGTGCCCGCCACACCAGGAGAGCATTCCAGAACCCCCGGCACATCCCTCCACCTTTACAGAGATCACGGCCAGACCTGGAAACGACCTTTTCACAGGGAAGCCAGCGTGTAGCAGCCGGGCACTAAGCTTTCAGTCAGTGGCTCATTTCTCTGGTACATGCTTAACATCACAAAGACTGGCAATAAGGAAGTCAAACGCCCTGGGCTTAAGGGAAGCCACGCGGCCCCACAGGCTGCTTAGTTACACCTAAAACCCACTCTATAAAATAACACCGCCGGACAGCGAAACCACTCTACAGCTAAACGCGTAGGAACGACGGGCGGCCACTTAGCTCATGCAAAACTTTTTCCACCGGGGTATTTTATAGTAGAAGAATGAAAGGATCCTTCCCAATTAACTGAGTATTAAAATTTCTCTAAAAATGTCTAAGCTTTCCTTTGATTTACAAGGGATCACTCCAGGAAGACCGTAAATGCCAGCGTCAACACTGCCCTGTTCTCCGGCATTTGCTCTCTGGCAAGGCCACCGCTGTTCCGTGAAACTTACGTCTGGTTTAAAACCCTAACCAGCTCAAGACAGGATACTAATCTTTTTCCAGTGCAGAGAAGGTAGCTGGATTTAATACCAGGCCGCTTCTCCGGGGAATTGTGTCTTTTTATTGAAGGAGGAACTGCAGAAACAAACGTTTAAGTTGTCACTTAAGAAAAACTGAGCCCACATGAAATACCATGTTTTTTACTTTTAAAGTGTATCAAGGCCAAAAACGCTGTTTAAAAAAAGGAAAACATTAAACCGATTAGTTGCATAAGTACCAAACAGTGTGCCAACTGTTTGAAACCTTTTTTTTAAAAAGTGGATTCTAAATTCACTCAATTCTGTATGGGGCTGGGGGGTGACCATCCTGCCTAATTCCTGATACTCCAAATATTAAGAACAGCGAATTACCTATTTTTCATGACGCTTAACCGTACAGCTTATTTTTGAAAACGAAAAAATCTTTTTGGTTAGCGAGATGGCAGGCAAAATGCCTGCATTTTTTCTTTTAACTGGATTAAGTATAAAGGAAGTAACCACACAATAATGCGGTTAGTCAGGTTTGGGCATCTCCTGCCCAAGGCAGTCGTGTTGTTCGGATCACTGAAGAACCGCAGTTTTTATTTAAGGTTAAATGGGTCACCGAAAACCTCTTATATTCAAAAGAAGGACGCCAAAGCTAAGGCTTGATTTTAATGCTCCAACAAGACTTCACTCCGATTACATCACGAACCGCTCCGGAAACGGAGCATCAATTGGTGGGTTCCAAAGGCTCCTGGTGAAGTCGAATTTTTACTCCTTTTCACCAGCACGTTCCCACTAAGGCTCCCACAGACTAAACACTAATCGGAATCGGGCAACTAGAGTCATCTTACTGAACGTAGGCAAAAAAAAAAAATTGCTACCAGACTGCTCTTTTCACATTCTATCCCATCCGGACCCTTTTTTGACCCAATACTTTTCCGAAAACCCGGCTCACTTTTCTCTCTTCCTTACCGCGAACCCACTCCCGAAACCTAGTGAAACTCCACGTAACCCACTAAGCCGAGGAAGCAAGCTTAACTGAAGGCGGTGCTGTGGGCCGAAAGCAACAGAGCTGGGAAAGAGAGGAGGAAAGTTCTGGAAAAAAAGACACTCCTTGCGGCTCCCCACCCCCACCGACACCGCCTTAGTCCCCCTCCCTACAGCAGGAAGCCATGATGGCGGGCGCAGACGAAGGCCGCGGCGCCATCTTGTCCACACACGCGCGGACAACAGCTCTGGGAGCCGTTCCCGTACTCTTTGAAAGTAGCAGGCAAATATCCCTGGCCTCAAACTCAGATTCGGCACCTACCGCCATAGTCCAGAGTCCTGGCCGCTAGAGCGGCGCCTCTACTTGCCGCTCTCGACAGTACAGGTCGCCCTGACGCTTCGCCACAGACTAAATGGCTCAGGCGAGAGACCCGGATGGCACAAAGGGGATGAGGCCGGGCACGTCGCACAGCTTGCTGGGAGGAGAGGGGCTGGTGAGAAGGCCTCCTATAGCAACGCGGTTCAAGGCGGTGATTGGTGGTTCTTTAGACGAGGGCGTGTAAAGCCAGGGAGAGGGGCGGAGCCAAGAATACACCCTTGATTGCGCTGCCTGGCGACCGGAAACCGTGGAATTTAGGGTGGAGCGACTTCCTATTTCGAGTTTAAAACAATCTTGGCCTTCACCAGTCGCCGTAAAGGGGGTGGGGCTTGGTCTTCTCCCGCCAATTTAAACACTTGGGCTAGAACCTGAAGAGATTAGGGGCGGTTGGGGGAGTCCTAAAAAGGGGCGGTCAACTTGAGTGTTCCGCTTTAGTGTTTCTTCAGTTGCAGGTGAGGAGGGGGAGTTGCGCTGCTGCCGTGGGTAGCTGGGGGTGAGTCCAAGCCGAAGTAGTAGCGTCTTTAGCACAGTTCGGGGTGTTGTCCTTTCAAGACCCTAGTGGGAGAAGTTGGAGTGGTTTCTTGCTGGCCCCAGTGTCCAGCTGAGCGTCTATGCGGGGTGGTCTAGCTGATACTGTTTCTTTTGTTGATATTTTTGAGAGAGAGAAACATGGATTTGTTGTCCCACTGGTTGATGCATTCATCGGTTGATACCCCCTTGTAGGTGTCCTGAACGGGAATAAACCCGCAACCGTGGCGTCTGGGGATGATGCTCTAACAGTTAGAGCTACATGATACTGTTTCACGTTGCATCATTCGCTAATCTATTGCTAATCTCTTCTGTAGCCAGCAGCCAGAGTGATCTCAAGTCGTTAATCAAACGGTGTCACTCGTCTGCGCTGTACCCTCCCCCGCGCGCGGAGGATAAACCCGATCTCGCAGGCGAGGGTTCGTGTCGCTCCCGCAGGGCTCGGTTCTTGCTAAGGCTGGGCAGCAGGCCCGAGCTCGCCGCGGCCGCTGAGCCTTGGCGTCGCTACTCGCCCTGAGCTGGGCGGAGTTGGCTCCTTGCTCTTCGGGTCCCGCTCAGAGAGCCCCTGCTTCGCTTCCCACGCAGGCGCTCCTTAAGCGACCCTCTCCGCCCCTTAGCTCTGTTCTGCTTGCTCTGAAGCATCTCACAGCTTGTCATTGTGCGTTTACTTACGTTTTTCGTAAGGAGGCAGTACAACAGTTAATAGCTGGCGTGGGTTTGAAGCTGTATCAGCGACTTCGGCTGTTTATTTAGCCTCGGCTGTAACATGGGCTGTTGTGTTAACTAAATGAGGAAAGCATTCCAAGCCAGCCTGCGTGCTCAGTGCATGTTAACTATTCTATGTTCGTCCCTCCTACAAGAATATAAACTTCATAATGACAAGGACCTTTCCTGCCTTCACTGTTTACCAGATGTGGGACCCTGAGCCCCGTAAAAGTACTCCCTGCCTCCCTCCTGTCTTGATCTCCCCACGCCCACCCAGGCACCAGCCACTGCAACTGTTGTCTGCTCCGGGTCGCTTCGCTGTGCACCTTTACTTACACTCTCAGTAGGAGCTCCTTTCCTCTAGTCACTGCTGTCCACCTGAAACTAATAGAGCATTGCCCATCGACCGTGATTGGAAAAAAAAAAATTCCCGTGATCTTAAATCACTAGCGCAAATATTACTGTGCCCACCCATAGCACTAGTAAAATTGCTAGCCCTTAAAATTGAGTGCTGGCCATGAACCAAGAATTAGTTTGTGAACGTGTAAAACTCATAACTTCATAAAACTCATAACTTTCCAGGTGGGTACAACGTTCATCCTGTTCTGTAGATCAAGGAACTGAGAAACAAAGATTCAGTTGCTCAAGGACAAGCAAATGCGAAAGAGCGCAAGCCGAAAATCGTTCCTTCCCTGTGCTGTACCTTCCCTAGGTTTTACAACAATATTGTGTTAGCACTTATCAAAACAACTGTAATTAATTGGTAATTGTTCGCCACCAGTCTTAAAGTTTTAATCCAGGAATTGGTTTTCAGTTTTTATCTTAACATTCTACTCCCAACCAGAGCACAGATAAAATGAGTTATAAATCTTTGTTGATGCGGTGGTTATACGGCTTGCCTACAGTTACAGGTATGCTCTTTGGTCCAGTCAGAAATCTAATCCAGTTTTTCTCCCCTTCCCCTTAACACTTTCATTTCTTGTGCTGCACTGGAAACAGTAATGACCGTGTTTGTAAACTTCATCTGGCACCTTGCCATTCTAAGGTGTCCCAGGCATTCTGACTTAAGAGCTTTTGCTGTTTGTTGCTATACTGATTAAAGATTTATTTCAAATGCAAACGTGTTATAATTTCAAGTTAGGCACAGTCAAGTACTAGAAACACTAGGCTACATTGGTCAGATCAGAATTGTTTGTGTTCCTAAACCATTATGTTCTTATTTAGTGGTAATTGGAGCTACAGTTCCATTTATCCAAATTGGTCCAAAGTATCTCATGACTACAGAAATAATAGGAAGACAAGTCTTCATTTATTGATATGTATGTTGGATAAAGCCTTGTCATTTCCTGGAAAACTGGATTCTGTTTAACAATATAAATTGGTCTCTAATTTTGCATGTTGTCCCAGGGAAGGCAGCGATCCCCGAATCAGGAAAACAGCCCCTGAAACATGTGGAATGATATTGAGCTACTAACAAGTGATGATACAGGAAGCGGGTCCCTAAGTGTTGGATCAAGGAAAGAACATGGAACTGCTTTATATCAAGTAGATTTGCTAGCGAAGATCTCCTCTGAAAAGGTAATGATTCTGATGCTGTTTTTATTCACAAATTTTTTACTGTGTTTTGTGAGCCCAGTAGCTACATGGTAAATGTTTTGTGAATGACTATATCCCTTTCTCAGGTAATCAGGGTTCAGTCTCAAATTATTGGAAATTTCCATCTGAATTCGCCTTACATTATCTTAAGATTTGTATTTCCCAAACTAAACTTTTCATAGATTGGGAAGAAAGAAATAAAATTTGTCTTTGTTTTCACATGACATGATTGTCCACATCAAAAATCTGAAAAAATCAACAAAAGAACTACTGGAATAATAAGCAATTAAAGCAGGGTGGTAGGATACAAGGCTAATATACAAAAGTCCTACACATCAGCAATGGAGAAGAGAAATTTTTTTTGATCCTCACCCAAGGACACTTTTTCATTGCTTTGAGAGATAGAGAGAGAAAGGGAAGGAAACATTGATGTGAGGGAGAAGCATCACATTCTCTCCTGCGGGAGATACGGGAGAGAAAGAAGCAAGATTGGTTGCCTCTTGTACACATCTGGACCGCAAATCAGACCCACAACATAGGTACGTGCCCTGATTGGAATTGAACCTCCAACCTTTAGGTTACGGGGTGGTGCTCCCAACAAATGAGCCACACTGGCCAAGGCAAACAAGGGGAATTTGAAATTAAAAATACAATCCAAAAAAATCATTGTGACCTTGTATTAGACAAAGCCATCCTAGATAAGATGGTCAAAGCACAAGCAATGGAAAAATAGGTAAATTAGACCTCGCTGACATTAAAAACTTGTGTTTTAAAAGACACAGTCAAGAGAGTGAAGGGGCAACTCACAAATGGGAGAAAATATTTGCAGATCTTCATCTGACAAGGAACTTATACCCAGAAAATACAAAGAACTCTGCCAACTCCACAATAAGACAAATAACAATTAAAAAATGGGCCAAAGACCCTAACAGATGCCCCATAAAAGAAGATATGCAGATGGAAAATTAGCATATGGAAAGATACGCCACATCCTATGTAATCAGGAAATGCAATTTAAAACAACCATGAGATACCGTTGTATACTTACTAGAATGGCGAATATCTAGAACACTGGACCACCAAATGCTGATGAGTACGTGGAGCAACAGGAACTCTCATTCAGTGGTGGTGGGAATGCAAAAGTGGTAACAGCCACTTTGAAAGATGGGTGTTTTCTTAAACTGGACATACTGTTACCATATCATCTATCAATTGTATTCCATGGTATTTACCCAAGGGAATGGAAACTTCTGTCTACACAAAAACCTGCACATGAATGTTCATAACGACTTTATTCATAATTGTCAAACCTTGGATGCAACGAAGATGTCCTTGAGTAGGTGACCTGATAAATAACCGGTCGTACCTCCAGACATAGAAATATTCAGTGCGGAAAAAAATGAGCTCTCAAGCCATGAAAAGATACGGAGGGACCTTAAATGCATATCACTAAGTGAAAGAAGCTAATCTGAAAAGGCTCCATGCTACTTGAGTCCAACTACACTACATGACATTATGGACAAGGAGAAGACCGTAAAAAACCGGTGGCTGCCGGGTATTGTGGTGGGAAGGAGAGATGACTAGGCAGAGCGCAGGGTTTTTAGGGCAGGGAAAGTACTCTACACGACACCATAAGGATGGCTACCTGTCACTATACTTTGTCCAGACAAACATGTACAACACCAAGAGTGAGCAATAATGTAAACCACGTACCCTGGGCGATTATGATCGTGTCCATGTAGGTTCATCAGTTGTAACAAATGTACCATTCTGGCCGGGGATGTCTATAACTGGGGAGGCTGTGGATGTGTGGGAGCTGGGGGTAGATGGGAAATCTCGGTACCTTCCTCAGTTTTGCTGTCAACCTAAAACTGCTATGAAAAAAACAGCCTTAAAAAAAGGGGGCATGGTCAACAGTTCACACAGAACAACATGGGGATATTCATATGCCTGGAATGTAAGAAGGACAGTTCTTTTTTTTTGCAATGCGTTGGTGTAACTTTTCATTAGTTGAAGAAGCAAGTAAAAAGAATGTAAGGAGTCGGAATGGGGTGGAGTTTTCAAGAATTACTCCTGGAGAAGGTAGCCATTGAAGTAGGCATAAAATGAGCTGGATAGCTTAAAAAACTAAGCCATGGAGGAGTAAGACTAGTTAATATTTATCAAGCATATGCTATATGCAAGGCTGGCTTCTAAGCCCTTTACTTGAATTCCTCTACTCTCCACACAAGCCAGCATTGTAGATACTATTATAATTATTATCATCATCATGATCATCACCATCATCCCTGTTTTACAGGAGAGTCAGTTGAGACATTTGCCCAAGATTACTCAGCTAGCGAGTGCCTGAGCATTTTCAACAACCCAGCTGCCCAGCTGCTTCAGGATACATATGCGTGGGAAGCTCTAATCAACAAAAGCTAAAAGCTGGAGATTCGTATTTGGCTTGCATAGTGTTTTTTAAAACGTTGACCTAGCTGCCAGTATTTAAAAATCAGAACATTTCACATAAAGAAGCAGCTTTTCTTGATAAATTGGAAGGTGTGGCTATGCTTTAACAAGTTTATGCAGGGGCACAAACCCTCAGTTCATGGTGCGCCACCGTCCGCCTCCCTGCCGTACCCCAGACACGGAGACTTGATGCCAGTCTTGGTTCATTTGCCCTCATGCCTGCTGCCTCCTGCAGGCACAAGGCCAGCGCTGGGGAACCAAGACTGTGCATGGGGTCCTTTGCCCTTCCCAGCGATCCTGGACTCTGAATGGGTTCAAGGTCTACATGTGAAGAAGAACTTGACTGCTTAGGCACACAGGCTGAAGAGAAAGGCCTGTCAAGTTTTGAACTTGGGTGCTGGGGACTGATACTGGTGGTTGGTATTGTTAAGCGTGTATAAAAAGGTTTTATATTAGTCCTGCTTTTCCCTCCCACAGGCCTCATTAAATCCAAAGATACAAGCATGCAGCTTAAGCGATGGGTTTATTATTGTAGCAGACCAATCAGTGATACTGCTTGACAGTATTTGTAGATCGCTTCAATTGCACCTTATATTTGGTAAGTTTAACATAAGAAATAAGATAAATTGGAAGTCAAGTACTAGCTACCAATTTTTACTGCATTGCCTTTTCTTTACTCCATTACTTCTAAGACTTGAAATTGGACTAATTTCAAGAAATTAATCTTGAGTGCCCATTTTTACGCTGGGTGCTAGACTCAAAGGATACTGGGGTGAACCCTTCCCAGTGGGTCTAAGGGGAAACACATGTAAAGCAACAATTTACTTGCGTGGCTTTTGTACAGTATTAGAGTGTCGGAGGAACCAGTTGGGCTCCATTACATTCAAGTACCTGAATCTTGTACATGTCAGTACCATCGACAGATATTTGAATACTTACAGAAGGTATAACACTATAAAAAGCTTTTTAAATATTTATGAATTCTTCATTGAGATGAAGAGCTTTAAATATATGCATATATGCAAATACGGACCTAAGAGTAAATTAAGAAACCAGTGAGTGATTGTGCCGGAAAACAGGTGGAAGTATTGTGAAAGCCTTTTTTGCAATTTTCAGAGGAAGGTGGGTGTTGAAGTGTTTGCGGAAGAACTGCGACAACTCAAAAGAACCGAGGCCTGTGTGTGAAAACAGGATCTTAATAACACCGTGGGGGCAAGGCGCTCCTATTTGGTGGAATCTCAGGGTATCTCCCCGGGGGGGTCCACAAAATTCAGTTCTACCAATGAAGTCTTGGGCTGTGTTAACATCCGATAGGCTTGTATAAAGATGTTGCTCCTGCATGGTTTCCCTTCATAAGCTATTCCTATGCTGCTGCTTTTGCCCCTTCCCCCTCAGCCTCCCGTTCACTCCCTTAGGCCCGGTGCTGTCACAACAACAATAAGCAACATCCTCCCTTCCGGTCTCGCTTTATCAGCCTTGTCAAGTTCGGATCCCTCCTTATCAAGGAGGGCGGTCCTGAGCCCTCCACCTGAGACTGCCGTCTGCAGGGCTCTTTGTTGTGCTTGGCTCTTGGGAGCTCTCTCCCTGCTCCACTGTTTCTTTTTTTCCCAAAGAATTTGTCACCTTCTTAGATGGCATATAATTTGTTTATTCTGCTCATTGTTTAATTATCTATTACTGCCTTAAAATTTGAGGTCTGTGAAGGTGGGACCCATATTCCTAGGTATGTGCAGAAGGCCTCGGACAACGCCTAGCATAGAAGTGATCAGTAAATATGTATTTGTTGGTTGATGAAGAGTCTATAGCATTCTTTTTTACTTTAATCACCCCTTTTTTTAATGTTTAAAAGAAGCTCAAATGGTTGACTTTAAGTGACAAAACATAGTTTTTTCTTATTGCAAATAAACATTTTTGAAGGAAGCTTGTAACTTCGATTTGGAATTTTCAGATACAGAAGTGGATGTAGTTGGCTTATGTCAAGAAGGAAAGTTCCTTTTGGTTGGAGAGAGGAGTGGCAACTTACATTTCATCCATGTAACTTCAAAGCAAACGCTGCTCACTAATGTAAGACGCTATCATCATTTTCATTTTCATGATCTAAATTCTAAATTACCTCTTAGACAACCTAAGCAAACTATTACTTAATTTGTGTTTTAAATAAAATAATATTCCTTTATATTAAATTTAAGCATTATACCTTAGAAACGTAGGACATAAATACAAAATTGTAAAATTAAGCTTTGTAGGTATTAGTCTGTTCAAAATTGGTTTCCATTTTAAAACTGAAGTGTTCGGAATGAAGGCAGAATTGTTGCTAATGATAATTGATAAATCTGCAATTTTAAAGAATATAATCCTTGATTATATTTTTCTGGGTTTAATCTTACTTTTTTAAAATTATTTTGCAATTAGGCTTTTGTTCAGAAAGCTAATGGTGAAAATCAGTGTACGTACCAAGCTCTTGTTATTGAGAAAGATGGTTCAAGTGAAGGTAAGTTTTTTGAAATTATTTTTGTCTTTTGACTAATGCACAACCAAAAAATCAGAAATCAAATTTATAGTAAATGAATTGTGTAAATTCATTATTATGCTACCTCCACAGTGTTTAGTTTTCTAGTGATGCAATCAATATTATGTAAGAAACAAGTTTTTATTTTAGCTCTTTTCAGAGTTTTAAATGTACTTTTCCTAAATATAATATTCTAAACTAGTTTTTATAGTTTTGAGAGTTCAATAGATTACCAAGGGGGCATTATATTCTTTTAAAATGTATACTTTTGTGGGTTCTAGCATATTTATCATATTTTCATTTCAAACAAACGTTAACTGGACCTTAATTTATTTTGATATATCTGAGGTTTTTCCCCCCCTGAGAAGTGAAGTTTGGTTTATGAAAGTTTCAAAGGAGTTAACGTTGTTTTTGCAATTCTTTGTAAATAAGCTTTATCTGTATATTTACTATATTATTTGATGATTAAAATTTAAATGAACAAATGGACATTTTTAAGCTTGGTTCAGATACTGGTTTAAATTTTATATTCTAGATTAAATTTATATTTTATACTAAATTTATATTAGAGAAACTGGCTTGCTATTATTTTAATAGGTACCTATTATATGCTGCTGCTTACAAACAATGGATTTTTTTGTATAACAAACCTTCAGCTTGCAAAAATTCAACAAGGTTAGTACAGTATTATTTTCATAGTATTGATTGTGGCAATATTTCTATTAGTTCTCCAGGTAAATTTTTATGTATTCTCTTTAGGAATATTATTTTAGTTTAATTACAGTCTATGATACTGGGTATACTTTTAAGGATTTGTAATATATTTATTCTCCACTGTTCGGGCTACAGCAGAAGTTGAAGAAATGTAATTTGTTTATTGCCTCTGAGGACAAACAGCTTAGTTGGAGAGACAAGACAGACACTAGCATAGTGATAAACACTTTTTGATGGAATGAATGATGAACCTAGAAACAGATGACCGTACAAGTGTAAACATTATTGTTAACTTGCTAACTTAACAGTAACTTATCGTGTGCTAAGTGAGTGGTGTGGCCCATACATCCCCCTGAGCTGGGAGAGGTTGAGGAATTGGTTTGGGGCATGTATTCAACAGATTTTAAAGTCTACAATCATATGTGCCAATAACATGCAAGGTCCAGGGGATTCAACAAGACTTAAGCTACATAGCTCTGCACAGCTTAATGAAAGAGCAGACAAGCGAGGCAACTCTTCCAAAAGGGAGCGTGAAGTGATGACTTGGCAGGTCGGACTCCCGAGCTTGAATCGGGAAGCTGGATTCTGTTTCAAGAGAGGAGCCTCCGGGCTGGGAAGGGAGGGTCTGGAGAGGCGCTGGAGGGACTGCAGGGCGCCTGGCCTGCGGCCTGACAACAGCGTGTCACCGGCTATATCCCCGGCCAAAGGCCAGACGGAGGAGAAGTCGGAGGAGGAGTCGCTGCTGTCTCTGGGCTTTCTGCTGTCTGACCAGGGGGCGGATCATTTCAACTGACACAAAAGGGGCCCCGCGTGCTTTATAGATTAACGCTGTCCATTTAGCTTGCTTTCTCTCTTTCACACAGCAATCGAAAATGTCGACTTGAATAAAGCAAAAAAGGTAAGAAAATGAAAATTCCATCGTCTTCTTAAAACTTAGATTTAATGAAAATTTAGGAGAGTGTTTCTGGATATAATTGTCTACTGGTTGGCCTTTTGGGAATCAGTATGATAAAACATTTTAATAACATTTCCATTTAAAAATATGTGTAGAATTGATTGGTTTAAACTGATTTTTATCAATCTAAGGAATTTGGACTGTGGAGTGTATGTATAACATTCTTATTTTTTAAATGTTGCAGTTACAAGGACAAATCAAGTCCAGTTTTATTTCCACTGAAAATTACCACACTCTTGGTTGTCTCAGTCTGGTGCCTGGAGATTTAGCGAGCAAAATCCCTATGATGATTGGGGTACTAAACCTTTTCATAAAATTTTGTGTTTTTGTTTCTGAAATGTTTCCTCATTAAATCACTATAGTTTTGGTTAAATTACAGATTAATTTGCAATGTGTAACAGAAGTGGGAATTATAAAATTAAGGTCACAAATTAATAAGTAAACCTAAGTTTCCATGTTGGAAAAAATATGGAAACTCATTTTTCTTTATTTTCTAAAGAAAATAAAGTTTTCTGTTTTATCATACTAAGTTTTCTTTATTTTATCTTTATTTTCACTAATCTCTACCTGAAATTTACCATTTCTTTCGATTATGAGTATAGGCAAAAAACAACAAATAGAACATCTAATATTCAAGGAGTAGGCAAAGATTCAATATAATTACAGCATTGACAACATTTTTCCTTGCCAGATTTATGCAGGGTGGGGCAAAAGTAGGTTTACAGGGTAAGTGCACAAAACACAGTTTATTCTTATATTTTTATTGAATAATTATTGTATTATTTTCCATAAAGACAACTGTGAGCCTACTCTTGCCCCACCCTGTAGGTTAAGTTAAAGTTCGCCCTTTGTCAGCAGAGTGAGTTGTCTGAACGTACCTGCTCCTTATTAGATGTTCGTGTGATGGTGATAACAAAGAAGAACAACAGTTCACTGTTCTTCCTTGTCCTGCTAAACAATTGAAGAGCGGGACTGAAAGATGAAAATGAGTTGGACTTCAATATATGTATTTTGAAATTAGTAATGTGTACTGCTTAGATGTTTCTACTTTGACGAGAATTTGGATCTAAGAACCAAATTTGCAATTGAAATACTGTTGTTGCTTCTGTAGGGAACTGGTAACTGTGCGCTCTCAAAATGGGAACCAGATCCTCTCAAAGACATGGCAGTTAAGAATGTTATTGATGCAGAGATTATTAAAGGTAATCTGAATTCCAGAAACTACTTTTGGTAATCATGAGTGAGTGCTAATTTTCATTTCTGTGCTAAGTGTGGCGTATGGCCCATTTTGGCGGACCACTCTTTGAGACAAGCCATGTTAAACTGATCATTTTTCACATACGTGACTTCCTGATATGTTGCTTTTGTTATTCTTTATTTTGGGAGTTCTTACATTTTAGTGGTTATCTAAAAATATAGACACAGGAATATATGAGAATGGGAACTTTTTGTCCATAAGTGTTAGCTTACTATTTAAATATGGCTGTATGTGACACAGAAGTATAACCTTACACACCTCGCTTTCTCTTTTGTAGGTGCCAAGAAGTTCCAGCTGATAGACAATCTACTTTTTGTTCTTGATACCGATGTATGTTTTTGATATTTCTCCTTTGATGTTTTTTTTCTTGGTATTGTGCTTAACACCAAAAAACATTGTCACACTTTTAAAGATAGGGACTTTCCTGTCTTGTGTACTGTGCTTCATTTCAGTGTATATGTACACCAAAAGATACAACCTGGAATAGAAATTTTTAGTCATTAAGAAGACATGTCAATGAAATGTCTCTTTTGCAGAACGTGCTGAGCTTATGGGATATTTACACTCTGACTCCTGTGTGGAACTGGCCTTCTCTTCACGTGGAGGAATTTCTTCTTACCACAGAAGCGGAATCCCCTTCCTCAGTCACGTGGTACGTCACGCTGCTAGTAGCGATTGCCCTCTGCCAGGACCCGGCTCCTTACCTGGTCCAGCTGTGACTGCTACGCACTGCGTTCTGAATAGCTCTGGGAACAGACTGACGGGGGAAAGGCCATTTCACTGGTGGCCTTATTCATTGAGAATAGACAATACGAAGCTTCAAGTGATTGTGTTCAAATGTCGGTCCAATATAAAAAAAAACCACACAAATAAACAAGCAGCCGAATAAAGTTCACATTTTGCTTGATTTATGCATCCAAATTAAAAAACCTCTCAGGAGAAGAAGTGTCACTCTGGACCATAATTGTGCAGAAATCGAGTTCAATGGCATCTGTGTGTGTCAGTGTTCACTTTATACAAGAATAGCACTTCGACTTAGCTTCCATCTAGCAATTGGCAAATCTAATTTGATTCACTTAAACCTTCTTTTCTCTTTTAGGCAAGGGATTACAAATCTCAGATTAGTAGCTCTGACAACTACTACTACTAAGGTACTGGAAAATTTGTTTCACGGTTGCCCATATTACGTGTTAGAAATAGCATTAATACAGAGGTAGTTGTTAGGTAGTGCTCACAGCACATTAGCTCTGAGGTCATGGAGATACTGGCAAATCAGAAATAACCCAGCGAGGGTCTTTTTTCCCTGTTTTAAAACTGTGGATATAAGTCTCAGCTCCACATTTAATCAGAGCATTGAGGAATAAAAATGTTCACAAAAGGATGTTTATTAAAGTGATTCTTACGTAGTTTGACACTGAGGAATTGCATTTACCCTAAATACAAGTTGTAGAATGGGCTAGAGGTATGTGGATTTTTATTCAACAGACTTGGAAAGTGGGATAGAGCATAATTTTATATGTAACACATAAGTCATACAGTAGCAGACCTACCTATAAAATTACTTCTGTGCGTAGCTTTGTACCAACTGTTGTCGCCTGTGCCCTTGATTGTAAAACATTGACTTGTGCTCGGAGGTTTATACTGACCTACTAAATTAATTGCACTACTCTTTTTTTTTTTTTTAAGATGAAAAACCTCGTGGTCTATTCATTACCTATGATGGAAATACTGTACTCTTTGGAAGTATCTAGTGTTTCTTCTCTGGTCCAGACAGGAATTAGCACAGTAAGTTGATGTATATTCTGAACTACTTTAAAAAATTACAAATAAATAAACAAAGCATGAGTGAAATTTACTGAAATACTTGGATAGATTGCAGGTTTAAAACTAGGTTCCTTGTTGTCCGATGTCCTCAAATATGCTTGCCCAAGGTCAAGATTTTAAAGAAAGAAAAATTAATCAAATAAAGTATCAGTCAACTGCACATTTAATTTTCTTGGGTCTCCACAGAAAATTTAGATGATAATTGCAAGAAGAGGATATTGTTTTTATTTGTTTTTTAACTGTGATCTTAACATTTCTTTTTACTACATTTGTTTCATCTCTTTTCACACACATGCTGTATTTTTCCAAACCAGTTAGAAATTGCTGACATTGCAACCTGTCACCCCTAAACACTTTAACAGGTGTACCCCAAGAACAAGAGCATCTTCTACAACACAGTCATCACACTTATGAAATTTAACTGTTGTGAAATATACCATCCAAATTCAAAATGACCAATTGTCCCAAACCTATTTTTTAAAACTATGTATTTTTTCTGATCCAAGATCCAACCAAGCATCTTCACTTCTCAAATTTTGTTATCATGGTCTCAGGGTAAGCTACTTAAATCTAGAACAGTTCCCTGATGTGTTTTGTCTTCTAAGACACTGACATGTTTCGAGCCCCAGGCTGTTGTGTTACAGACCATCCCTCTGGTCTTGTTTGCTCCCTCATTATTGGGCTCATTCTAATCTTTTTCCGCAAGGATGCTGCATAGGCAACATTGTGTCCTGACTGTATCACATTGAGGGGCTTGTGTCTTTGTCCTGCTTTGGTGGTGATACATTCAATTACACGGTTAACACAGCTATGCCAGATTTCTCTTTGTAAAGGTACGTTTCCCCTTTGTAATCAGTAGGTAGTTTCTCTAGTGTTGTTTTGAGATTATGGGAATATCCTTTTCTCTAGTAACAGTTTCCCCAGTGATTTTAGAATTACATTGCTAGATAATTTCTTCCTAAACCAGCTGTTACTCTAGTAACTATAAAATGAATTCTATATTTCAAATGCCTTAAACATGTTTTTGTCGTTGTAGGATACCATATACCTTCTGGAGGGAATTTGCAAAAATGATCCGAAGTAGGTCATGTTTTGTTTTATCAGATAAGTTGTTAAATAACAGCTAAGTTAAAATTTACTTATTAATATTAAATGACAAATGTACTTAGAGTGAAAACTTATTTTTCAGACTATCCGAAGACTCAGTCTCTGTGTTAGCGCTCAGATGTCTTACAGAAGCTTTACCAGAAAACAGGTGACTTCTCATTTTCTTTTAAGACTTAGCCCTTAATTTAAGACTCAAGTTCCCTGATTAGTAAAAGTTTAACCTAAGTTTCTTTCCCACATAACAGATTGAGTCGGCTACTTCACAAACACAGATTTGCTGAAGCTGAGAGCTTTGCCATTCAGTTTGAACTAGATGTTGAGGTAATCACTCATGAATTTATTTGTTCATTGAATAAGCATTTTCTTGGCATCTTGGTGTGCTGGATGCTAGGGAGACAGCATTTGTTTTATAAAGACTTCATTTACTTTTTAGGGAGAGGGAAAGGGAGGGAGAAAGGGCGGGAGAGAAACATATGTCACTTGCCTCTCGCACGCCCCCAACTGGGGACCTGGCCTGCAACCCAGGCCTGTGCCCTGACCAGGGATCGAACCAGCGACCTCGCAGCTTGTGGAACGATGCTCAACCTACTGGGCCATACCAGCCAGGGCAGGAGACAGCATTTTTTCCTCAAACTACTTGATGTGGCGTATTTATATTACAGCTTGTTTACAAAGTAAAGGCAAACGATATATTGGAGAAACTGGCTTTGAGTTCTGTAGACACCACTGAGCAGACCGAATGGCAAAAACTTGTAGATGAAGCTAAGGAAAATCTACATAAAATCCAGGTGAGTTTTCCCTGTCATGTGCTAGAGTGTTCGATTGACAGATTGATCAACATTAGGTCACCTTATTATTTCTGGCCTTTATGAAACAGGACGATGAATTTGTGGTAAATTACTGCTTGGAGGCTCAATGGATAACCTATGAGACAACCCAGGAAATGCTCAATTATGCCAAAACCAGGGTGAGTTTTTATAACATTTGTACATGTTAGTTTATCTTATGTAAAACAAATAATTTTTTTAAATGAATTATTTTTTCATCATAGGCCTTTTAAAGGTGCATTTTTGCTGTAGGCTGTTCCTCTCGCTGACCTTTGAAAACCAGCTAGTTATAGTCCTTAAAATCAAGTGTAACAGAGGGGGAAGTGTTGTGAGCTTTTTTTAGTTCATAAAATGCATTTTTTAAGATATACTCTTTCTTTACTAGTCACTGTTTACCTCAGAACTCAAGGCAGTTTTATTGATAGAGATAATTTTTCCTTTAATTCACAAAAAGAGTCATCTTTTCTCATGAAAAACCCGACATAGCAGATCTTCTAACCATGTCTCTTGTTGGTCGTCTCAGCTTTTGAAGAAAGAAGACAGAACCGTTCCTGTCTATTCTTACGGCTTAAGAGAGGTAACGGCGTGGCGCTGGCGGGCTGACGGGGGGCAGAGGCGCCCCCCGCTTCCCTGCGGGGACCGTTCCGGGAAGCGTGTCGTCAGGGGTCGGGGTCGCGGTGCGAGCGGCGCCGAGTGCGCTTACGCACAGAGGTGGCGCAGGGACATTTGAGATAGTGGCGCCCCCCGCCCCTGATGTCGTCAGCTTGGCTCAAATAAACTCTTAAAAAATTTAAAAAAACCCAAAAGCCCCTAGATGGTACAGCCTGATACACACCTAACATAGCCTCTTGTTCCTACGTCACACACCTGCGGGGCATGTTACTGGGCTGAGACAGTTTTAACACAATTGTAAGTATTTGGTGTCTAATCCTAGAAAACGTGCAGTAAAAATACCGTATAAAAGATAAAAACGGCGCCCCGGTGCGAATGGAGCTTGCAGCGCGCGGAGCTCCTGGGAGGGAGCCAGCCGGGCGGGGGCGGGGGCGGGTGCGGCCCGGGACTCGGCCGCTGCCTGGACCGTCAGGACGCGCCCATCCCGGCGTGGGCGAGGCCGCCTCACCGCCCGCTCGCCTTCCATCCCTGGGAAGGTGCGGGGAGGGGGGTGCGGGGGTGGTCAGGGCAGAGCGGTTCGCGCTCGCTGCCAGTGTTGCGTCTCCTGTGTGAGGTAGGCACTGCGTTTCTCTGCTGCTGGCAGCACAGTGCATTTCTTCCCCTGGCGTCACCCGGGACGTGGGGTCATGTGTCATGGGCTGCGACGTCACTAGACTATAGGAATGTATTACAGTCTTAAGAGGCCAGCATCCTACCGGTGGCCTGTTGTTGACTGAAACGTTACGTGGCATGAGACTGTGCTTTTCAGCTCAAGATGAGCCCATGGCTTTCCCAAGAGCAAGGTATTTTAATACTACTTTCCCTGTGTGCAAAATGGGAATAATGATAGTACTTATAGGGTTATTTTGAGATCAAATGAAATACTTTAGATAAACTCTTTCGCACAGTGCCTGGCACCTGTTACACCCACAAACACGTGAACTGTGATGATTATGATGGTACCAAAAACATGCGTGTGCACACGTACAGGTGCTTATTTTTCAACTTTCAAAGTGAATTTTTGTTATGATCTAGGTAGGTTTGACCATAAGGGCGTTAGTAAATCAGCGGAAAAACTACTTGCGTTTGAAGGTACCCACAAGTAATGTGCAAGTGGCTTCTTCCCTTGCCATTGTGTTGCATTGAATATGACTGGAAACGTTTCCATTATTCTAACCTTTTTTTGTTTTGTGTTAAATAAACGCAGTTGTATTTATGGGAATTGACAAAATGGGGAGGTGTGCAAGACTTCTCAGACAGAATGCCTAAGTTTAATATTATTGCACACAACATACAGATTATTAATTTATGCCTTTTTAGGTACTGAGAGCTCATGCAAAGTTGACAACTTTTTATGGAGCATTTGGACCAGAAAAATTCAGGTGTGTACATTCCTCATTTTTAGTTTTTAGACTGAATTAGATTCAAATCTAGAATAACAGAAAAGATGTGGCATTGCTGGGAGTGAGTTTTTGTGTCCGGGGGTAGAAAGCGCCTTTCTTGCTGAGCTGCAGGCGCTTTGCTGCGCCGTGCACGGCGCCCGGCACACTGGAGACGCACGTTTAAATCCCTGTGCCTCGTCAGTTATTCCACCGCTGGCATGAAATGACCCGCGTTGCCTCTGCCAATTGAAATACTCTTTTAATCACATGCTAAAAACCTCACTGTATGTAAGCCTGTCTCTGGGCTTTAACTCTATTCCTTTAACCTCATCTTTCTATTCATTCAACAGTATCAAATAGTTTTAACTCACGTAGGTTTAAAAAAATGTCCTTTCGGTTCGCAGGCCAGCACTCAATCCACTGAGCCACACCAGCCAGGGCCAAAATGAAATTTTTTGAAGAACAGAATATTTATCTATTTATTTATTTATTTTTATTTTTATTTATATATTTTTAATTTAAAAATTAAAAACAGTTGCTTGTGTGTGTAGTGATTATCTCAGAAAGGACCTACAAGAAGAGATGGCTTCCAGGCAAGATTCAGAAGGCTTATAGGTCAGAGATAAGGAAATTTACTTTGCAGTGTTTAAAACTTCTTTGAAACTTTTTGAGGAAAAAACTTGTTAAAATGCATAATGATGCCCACTTGTAATGAATAATCTTAATATCTCTTTTAAACTAACTTTTTTCCTCTCTTTGACGTTGCAGTGGCAGTTCTTGGATTGAATTTCTGAATAATGAAGATGAACTTAAGGATATTTTTTTGCAGCTAAGAGAAGGAAACCTTGTCTGTGCACAGTACCTTTGGCTTAGACATCGGGTAATACGTTTTGCATTTTTTTCTTAGTGGCTTCAGACCCCTAAGACAGGTGATTGAATCAGCATTGGGAACGAACAGGGTGGCGAGTGTGACGGGGTGATGGGGTGTTTTCGGGGTGATAAAATATGACCTGTCCCAGAGGAAACTATCCTGTGATGATTACTAACTCAGGAAATATTATAAAGATACAATGGGAACTTACTTTATCTCATCATTCAGAGTCTAAACTTAGGTCAAAAGCAACATTTTATTGTGATTTATTGATGGACTTTTTTTTTTTAACTTTTATTTATTTTAGAGAGAGAAACATCGATTTGTCGTTCCACGTATTTATGCATTCATTGGCTGCTTCTTACATGAGCCCTGACTGGGGATTGAACTTGCAACCTTGGCGTTTTGGGACAACGCTCTAACCAACTGAGCCACCCAGCCAGGGTGATGGGCTTTCTTATGTAGTATTGGTGGAGAAGGTATTCCTATTGCATTTCAGACTGTGGTAGAGGAAAAACTGCTACTCTGAACCCTGTTAATGTTGGCGTATAAAGTTATGTCCAAAAGGTAGTTATCTGGGTGTGATGTCATTAGTGGACATGTTGCTAGGATCTGTGTTATCACCGCCAGTTAAGTTTTCCTTGGAAGGCCATCTCTGCCAGCTCCTCTGCCACCCAGTTTGTTATTTGGAATTTTCTGTCATGAAATTCATGGAATCTGTGGCTTCCAGCTCAAATCATCTGTGTAGAGTAAATCACCTTTAATGCTCATTAAAGTGTAAACCAATTTTTGGAATGACTTCCTAAGAGGTTTTTCTTTTTTTGAGAAGCTGTCTGTTTAAATTTGTCAGATAAACCTTAATTTCTCATTCTATGATGTAGGCAAACTTTGAAAGCAGATTTGATGTGAAAACGCTTGAGAACTTGCTCAACTCAATTTCTACACCAGTGTGTTTGCGAGAGCTCTGTCCGTGGCTGAAAAACGATGTGATCCCGTTTGTGAGGAGGACTGCGCCGGGCGGCCAGGTCAGTTGCCCCGCGTTTCCGCTCTCGGTGATTCGGCTTTGTTTCCCATCGTGTCCTTGAACACTAAGTCACACGAATACTGGTTAGTTCATTTTAGTGTCTCTTTGGAAAGAGTATCATGGATGTTTTAAATTGTTTCAGTGATTATCTAACTGAGTCTTTTATTTTTAAATGATATATGTATTTCAGAAAATTCTCGCAAAATGGTTGGAGCAAGCAGCCAGGAACCTTGAATTAACTGACAAGGTAATATGTATAATTAGCACTGAAAAGCTATTTAAGACTCCCACTGGCATAAATCATTATTTTTAATTGTTTGTAAAATTTTTTAAAGGCAAACTGGCCAGAAAATGGACTTCAACTGGCAGAGGTGTTTTTTACAACAGAGAAGCCACACGAGCTGGGGTTGGTGTCCTCCTGGCACTGGATTTCCTTGGTAGGACACGGGAAACAAATTTTTAGTAATAAAACATTCGATTCATGTTACAGTTTGCCTGTATATACTAGAGGTATATCCACGTCTGAAATTGTCTGTTTTTATTCTTTTGTTCTTGTATTTGGATAGGTACTTTTAGAAGCCACAAAAAGCAAGATTTGCTCTTTTTCTTCCTGATATTTCTGTTCCAACTTCAACCTGTCTTAGTACACTCTCTCTCTCTGTTGAGCCAACCAAAAGGAGAACAGTATATAACCCTGCTCCTAGGCAGTGTGCTTGCGACTTTCTGCATTAGTAGCACTTCACGTTGCTTTAGAAAAAAAAGTACAGTAATGCCTTCGGATTGATTTTCAAAGGCTGTATCAAGCAGATTTGCTCTTTTCTTAAGCTAGTAAACTACTGTTTCTGAATGCATACCTTAAACATTTCAACAACCATTATGGCTTAAGTACCAATGAATATTTTAAAAGTTCAATTGAAGAAAACCTGGGGCTTTCTGAGTGTTTGAAAAAAATAGCAATGCTAGAAAGGGAACTAGATCAAGAATATTGATATTATAATTGATGTTAATTTGAAGTTAATGAACTGAATTTATTGTTTGGCTTCTAAATTTCTTTGGTTCATTTCTCTTTCCCTTCAGGTTTCTAAAAACTAGCAAGCATTTTTTTTTTTTTTTTTTTAATTTAGAGAGAGTGGAAGGGAGAAAGAAAGGAAGGTAGAGAAACATCAATGTGAGAGAGAAACATTAATGGGTTGCCTCTCAGCCGGCAACCTAGCCATGTGCCCTGACTGGGAATTGAACTGGGGACCTTTAGGTTCACAGGCTGGTGCTCAATCCACGGAGCCACACCAGCCAGGGCTGTTATTTATTTTTTTTAAGTACATTCTTGTATTTTAAAAATCTGTTGGTATGCCATAATTTAGTATATACACATGAGACATTTCAGTATAGTCCCAATTCTGAAGTATTAACTACTTAAGTAGCCAGAGGTATGACCTTACTTACAGTTAAAATGTACATTATGAAATTGTGTTTATTCCTTAAATTTCTGGAACCCCAAAATAATAAATTTCCTCCTACTTTCCTATATAGCAGAATCTTACTATTTTTATTGATTATAGATAATATACTGTTATAAAGTGGGAATTTTTACATAAGTTTCAAGCAGTGTTTTGACATATATAATCAATGTGCATTATACTGTATATTGATCACCATAATGTTTTTTTCTGCAGAAGTGCATTTTCCTTTTGCTGTATAAAATACTGCTTTGTCCTTTCCCTGTTAATTGCCTTTTATCAATATTGAAAATTCTGATCCTTATAAATAACTTTAGAAACTATTGCAGCTTTATGTCTGGTCGTGATCAGCACAGACGGACAGTGAGGGCCATCTGAGCGGTGTGTGTGCACCTCAGCCTGCTGGGGTTCCACATACAGGTTACACGGATAATAGTAGTTTTTTAAAAGAAATTTCCTTAGATTTCTGTCAAGATTCTGATCTGTTAGTTTGTATTAGTTAATATTTGTTAAAATTCTACAACATTTAAAGGTATAAGCTGCCTGTTTCTCTTATGTATATAATCATGGTCATATGAAATAATTCTGACCTTTTTGCACGTTTCTTCCTCACGTTTTTATTTCCTGTCCTTAACAACTTTCTCACGGTCGTTTCAGAAGGACTATGAAAACACGGAGGAGGTCTGTCAGTTGAGGACCTTGGTCAACAACTTGCGAGAGTTGATCACATTGCACAGGAAATACAACTGCAAATTGGCCCTCTCTGATTTTGAGAAGGTAAAAGTCTAGATTTGCCAGCATCATTTTTTATCATAAGCAGGATGAGTGGAGTTTGCATTTATCCCTTTTTTTCCCCTTGGCATTCAGGAGAATACAACCACCATTGTGTTCCGGATGTTCGATAAAGTGCTGGCTCCAGAGCTTGTCCCTTCTGTCTTAGAGAAGTTTGTGAGAGTGTACATGAGGGAGCATGACTTGCAGGAGGAGGAGCTGCTGCTCTTGTACATTGAGGTAGCTTCTTCCTCGCCTCTCTTCTTCCTCCTGGATCTGCGCAGTGCGTGATTGCATTCAATGTTTAACGCAGTGGAAGTCTGTATTTTGCTGTGTATAATGCACATTTTTGCCCAAACTTTTGAGGGAAAAATAAGAATCAGATTACACATGGGTCGTACTAATTCTGTATCTATGGAAGTATTTTTAATTCTTTTATTTATGCTTGTGTGTTAAAAGCGTAACTCTATAAAACAGTAACTATCCATAGGCAAAATAATACCCTTCATAATACAAAAAACAAGTATCTAAATGTAAATAAATAATTGAATTTAAAAAGTAAAACAAGCTTTTTTCCATGAAAGTGCGGGCCAAAAACATGAGTGCACTTTATGCATAGCAAAATACAGTAACTCCTTAGCGCTAAACAAGTGATGCTTCACTGCTAGGATTTGTGGGCTTCTCATTTTGGTGAAGAATGCTGGTCAGATCTGCTGCTCACTGACTGGCAACTGTGAGCCAAACAGGAGAATAGTAGGGTTTTCTACAAATGGCTTTTGTGAGAACGTAGGAGCATGGGCTCAATAAATACTAGCAATTATTTTCCGTGGACATTAATAAGGTGCAATAATCTTGTTTATAGAGTCTTCAAGAATGTTTCCATTATAAGTTGTCTGTACCGCATAAAACTGAAGGCGAAGGTTTGGGTTGTTTTGCATTCTTTTGACCACTGTTCAGCATTCATGGCTAAGCAGAAGTTTTTGTTTTCTTTACACATCTTTAAAAGCTATTTATGTTTATATGTGTGTTTTTCTGTTTTAGTGAGAGCTTTAGATTTAAAGCTTATATATGCTTATCCCTCATTAGGATTTATTGAAGAGATGCAGCTCCAAGTCCACGTCGCTCTTTGAAACGGCATGGGAGGCCAAAGCCATGGCTGTCATAGGCTGTCTCTCGGATAAGGACGTGAGTACCTGGTGACCGTGTACGGGGCCCACATGTAAGTGCATAGTGGCCGTGTAGCTTTCTCTTTTCAGCATTTTCACTTTTCTTAAAACTTTTTCTGATCACAACAGCAACGTACTTTTATTAAGGAGAATTTACGTAATGTGAAAAAGGGATGAAAAAATTTAAAACCACCTGTAATTCTATTTTATTTAATTATGAAAATTTGAAAGTGGAAGATTTCTTATTTCCACCCCCAGAAGACCCTCCCTAGACAACGGGATGCATATATTTCTAGGCTTTTCTATAGTTTTACAAACATTGAAACATTTTGAAAATACATTACCATATGCCTTTATTTTGACTTTCACTGTTATTAGGTATCATTATAAAATGGGAATAAAAAATAATGGAAAGTACTTTTAAACATAGGATGTAGAAAGAAATAGTTATATGACTTAACTTTCAGCAGAGAAAATACTTTTCTAAAGTTTTCTAAATACTAAAATTGCCCTTTTTTGTGAAATTGTGTGAAAACTGGAAGAAATCTATGCTTTTGTGATCAGAAGATCAAATGCTCTCAAGCAACCGTACAGCAGATGGAAGACCTGCGCTGCAGATTAGGCAGTGGCAGTACCGCGCGCAGAGCGCGACGCCAAGGGGCCGCTCACTGCCTGTGCGTGTCTCCGCAGCTCATATTCGACGCCGTGCTGAAGGTGATGTGCGCGGCCGTGGTTCCCTGGAGCGCGGCTGTGGAGCAGCTGGTGAGGCAGCACCTGGAGATGGACCACCCCAAGTAAGGCTGTCCCCCGGACAGCTCCCCCGGCGTCAGGGAGGCCGTGCTCGCCGACGTTCGCTTTTGGTTTTCCATCCTTTACCCTGTCCCTTCGTATTCCATAAAAAAGATAATCCATGTTAATACCAGTACATTTCCTTCCAGAGTCAAGTTATTACAGGAGAGTTACAAACTAATGGAGATGAAAAAACTTTTACGAGGCTATGGAATAAGGGAGGTGAACCTCTTAAACAAGGAAATAATGGTAAGTGCACTGGAGAGTCTTTCAACCCCTTTGTTCCGTTTCTAATGCAATGTGGGAAGTTTAATGAGAAGTTCATATTCTTGAAGGTACTAGAGCTAGGCTCACCACTGCTTTCCTTTTGTTAAACAGAATGTTAATTGGGTGCTTAATTGTTTATTAGCGTAGAGAGGACAACAAATGGTAAATTAAGAAACTAAAGGAGTATACTAAATGATTGCATCATGCACCTTAAATATATACAATGTTTATTTGCCGATTATACTCTAGTAAATCTGGAGGGAAAAAGAAGTTGGGCAGGACTATCATAAAATTCAGAACGTATATTATTTTTTAATGTTTTTATACAGCTTAGTTTTTTTTTGCTGACTTATTTTAACTTAATGAATACTTTGCCTTAGGAACAATTGATTTCTGGGTTCTCTTTGAGATTTTATAACAAAGAAATGCATATTTTGTCTGTTTCAGAGGGTGGTCCGATACATCCTCAAACAAGATGTCCCATCTTCTTTGGAAGATGCTCTGAAGGTGGCCCAAGCGTATATGTTGTCTGATGATGAAATCTACAGCCTAAGGGTTATTGACCTGATAGATAGAGATCAGGTGTGAAAGTGTTATATTGTCCTTCCTTTCCTGTGGTATCTTTGTTAGAGAAATCCTTAAAAACTCAGAACAATCAAATTATCCAAATAGATTAGAACAAGATGAAGTTAGACCAAGATAAGAACATTGGATGTTAGACTGACTGTGTTTTTGATATGTGTAGGCTCTTTAAAAGTATTTTGAGACTAGCTAATGGATGTTTGTACCCTTTGGTGCTTTACAAAACTCAAATTCATGTTTTATATTTTCTGTGGTACCATTGATTCCAGAATAAGATGTGGACTTTCTGTAATCTTAAGTATCTTTTTTTCCCTGTAGTTCTATAACTATAGGATTACAAAATATAAAGAGACGTGTTTTAATTTAATTTGTTTGCTGCCATCAACAGAATTTTCATATTTTTATCTTACCATAATCTAGTTTTCAAAATGTCTTTTTATTTTTCAATAGAAAAGAGAGAGGTAAGTCCAAACTGTTCTTTGCACAAAGGAACCAGCTGTTTTCCTTCCTTCCCACACTGGTTATAGGGTGAGGACGGCGTCCTCTTGTTGAGGTCTCTTCCTCCTGCTGAAGCAAAGAAGACAGCGGAGAGAGTCACCACGTGGGCGCGACTGGCGTTACAAGAAGAGCCAGAGAATTCTAAAGAGGTAAGATTCCCACTAAATAAAATATAGGTAAATCCAGTTAAAAAATATTTTATTTATTTATTTTCAGAGAGAAGAGAAGGGAGGGAGAAAGAGAGGGAGAGAAACATCAATGTGCGAGAGGACTATCAGTCAGTTGATTGCCTCTCACACGCCCCCAGCTGAGGACCTAGTCCACAGCCCAGGCATGTACCCCAACTGGGAATCAAACCGGTGACCTCTTGGTTCGCAGGCCGGCGCTCAATCCACTGAACTGCACCAGCCAGGGGGATAAATCTGACTTTTACAGAGTAAACAATGGGATAGAAAAGATAGGCTTACCAATATGAATATCTGCTCTTCCCACTGCTGGAACGGCCTGATGTAAAAATTTCTGTGTCAGTGTACTGTGTAGAAAAAAGCGCCACGTGGCTCCTTGGGGTGGTGGCTTGAGTCCATGCTGAATGAGCCAGGCTCTGCAAACCGGAAGGATTAACTGAAGTCTTTGTTGTGCGTAAGGAGTTTCCCACGCTGCTTTGCAGTGCAAACAGTGTCCTGCATTGCCGGGACAGAGTCATCACCATCCAACAGCAGTGCAGCCACAGAACCAGTGTGAATCTAAGCTACCCTGGTACACCAGGACGCAGGGACAGTCCCGAGAGTCGGTTTACTTCACAGAGGAAAGGAGCCAAATACGGAGACTTTTAAAGCTTTAGAGATAAATACCTCCCATCCTCTCAGCAGTCCACTTCAGTCACTTTTCACTTTAGGGGAAATGAGGTTTTTGGTTTTTGGGGTTTTTTTTAACATCTAATATTTATTGCGGTCTTATGATCATGCAGTGGGCATTACGTTAAATATTGCAAATGAACTGTGCACTTTCTCTGAGCTGTGAAGTACGTTCTTATAGATTTAGTTCAGACGCGAAGATCTTTAGGTAAATGCCTCTCCCAAGGTTATTAGAAGGTGGCAGAGCCTCAGCCAGGACCCTGGCACTGAAGTCTGGGTTCTTCGCCGCCAGCCTGCGCTGCGTCCCGTAGGAAATGGTTTTGTGTGGACGTGGCCCTTACAGCCGTCTCATCTTTACACTAAAGCTTTTCCCTGTTTGGTTTTTCTTGTCTCTTTTTTAAAAATATTTTTTAGTCCTGAAGATAATGATTTGACTTCAGTTCTCTAGGTTAAACAAGCTCAGTTCTTTTTAACTTTTCCAGAGATGTTTTCCAAATGTTTTTCCAAATAATAAGCAAAAGCTATTAAAAAAGCAAACAGACAAACACCCAAGCGTCTGTCGCTGAAAGGTGCATACTCTGTGGTATCTCTAAACCATAACTCCAAGGGCTCACACTGGTGATTTTTATGTTGAGATTCTATATGATTCAATTTTGACCCATTTCTTGGTTCCCGAAGTCCCAGTAACACTGACCTCTCGGTTTTTCAGCAGGTTTTATGTTTTTTTCTGATCCCTTAGTTCTCATGTGTTTGTTATATGTGTGTACTACCGAAGTGCCGAATGTGGCCGTCGATTTCATTTTGCATATTCCTTTTCAGGACAAGGCCTGGAGAATGTCGGTAGTGAAGACATCAGTAGACATTCTTAAAATTCTGTGCAGCCTTCAGAAAGGTAGTGTCCACTTCTGTCCCCTCGCTGTGGATTTGTTCAAACTTTATCCTTTTCATCAGGGAGCCTCAGTGCCCACTCTCATCCTTACCCACTGTTTTTCTGGCTCTGGTGGCTTTTGTTGGTCCCACTCATCTTTCTTCATGAAAAGTCTTTCTTGCCCCATTCTTTTGATCTGCAGCATAAGAGTAGATACATCTAAAATCAACATACCGTTGGTGTGTACGCTTCAGTGAGCCAGTTCCTGCTGGACCAGATTTCTCTGGTGCCTTGCACTTAGTATTCATATTTCTCCTTATCGTTTGGTTACGATCAGGAAACAAAACCCATTTAACTTTGAACTTGAATAAAATGACTAACAAAGTAACTCTCTTGGGAAGAAAAAAAGCTACAATTTCAGAAAAATTGCCAGTTCTCTTGTAACCCATAAACTTCTCTTTTTGTACCTTCCAAAAGAAGAATTAGATTTTTGTATTTAAATTGTCTTATCAATATCTCAACAGAACTACTGAAGACTTGAAATAAGAAAACCAAAGCTAATTTTAAAATGTTAGCTTTTTTTTTTTTAAGACTTTATTTTTTAGAGGGGGCAAGGGAGGAGGAAAGAGAGGGAGAAGTACACTGATGTGTGAGAGATACATGGATCTATTGCCTCTCACGCATCCCTAACCGGGGACCTGGCCCGCAACCCAGGCACGTGCCCTGACTGGGAACTGACACCATGACCTTTCGGTTCACAAGCTGGCACTCACCCCACGGAGCCACACCAGCCAGGGCAAAATGGTAGTTTTTATAAATTCTGATAAGGTAGGAGTTTGGATGTTTGCCCTAACTAAAAATTTTAATTACAGACAATCTGCAGAAGAAGGATGAGTGTGAAGAAATCTTGACTCTATTTAAAACTGTTGCCAGCTTACAGGTAAAGATGCTAAGCTACATTGAACAGTAAGATTAGTATTTGACTAAGCAGTGCACTTGACGTGGATAGTCAGCCCCACCTTCTCAAAGTTTCTGCACTGGCCTTCAAAGACTTTCGATATACTGGCTTTTCTTCTTTCTCTCTTACTAAAAACAGCTTTATTGAGATGTAATTCACATACCATACATTTCATCCATTTAAAGTATCTGATTCAATGGTTTTGGAGTATATTGCATCATTAATTTTTTTTTTTAATTGTGGCAAAATACATATAGCATGGAAGTTGCCATCTTTGTCATTTTTCAATATGCCGTTCAGGGGTTTTAACTGCATTTGCAATGCTGCGCGGCCATCGCCCCTGTCTGCCCCGGTCACCTTCAGCAGGAGCCCCTGCGCACTGAGCCGCACCCCCGCTCCCACCCTCCCCACGGTTTCAGGGAACCTCTAATCTGCTTCCTGCTCTCTCAGTCGCACTAGTCTGTATATTCCATGTAAGGGGAGTCATATAGCATTTGTCCTTCTGCACCTGGCCGTCTTTACTTAGTGTAACGTTTTCAAGTTCATCCATGTTGTAGCATGCAGAGACCTCCAGTCCTGTTTCTGGCTGAACAGTATTGCACTGTATGGATAGGCCCGATTTTGTTTATTTATCTATTGTGAACATTTGGGAAAAACTTGGCTTCTTTCCACTCTTTGGCCCTGTGAATAGTGCTGCACTGAACACAGATGTACAAGTGCTGCAGGGGAATTGCGGAGTCGTGTGGTAGTTCTGTGTTAGTTTTTGAAGGAGCTTCTCTCTTTTAATTGTATTCTAGTTTATGCTTTTAAAATATTTTGAATTAAGTTATTTTTATAGAGTACTTATTTAACTCAGAGGGCCCTGAATAATAGCCAACACCAGTTACTCAGTGCGCGCCCTGTGCCAGGCGTCCCGGGCACTATGTCATTGCCACAGTAGCTCACTGTGGGGTGTCGTTACCCTCTTTCACAGAGGAGGAAACTGGGGCCCCGCAGCGCCTCGACACTCTGCCCGAGATGGGGGGCTGGCTGCGGATGCTGGCCCAAAGGCTGCTGCTTACTCCTTTGTAGTGTGTTACGTATTTCCCTACGCAGGTTTGTTCTAGACAGTCTGACTTTCTTAAAAATTAATTTCTGTTAACTTTGAATTGATTAACTGCCCTAAGATTTCAGATCTGAAAGTAATTAATTTTATTTTGGCTCACAGGCCTTCCTAATATAAAAGATTTTGTAAATAGAAGGGCTGACAGAGTTAAGGGACAAGTGTTATCAAATAGAAAATTAGGTAGCTTAGAAGATCTCTTTGTGAAGACTTAAAATTAACACTGGCAGATTTAACTTTCAACTGTCCTATCTCAAAGTGTATAAAGAAGAAATAATTGACCACAGTTTATTGGGCATGTGTTTCTCAAAGTACAGCCCATGGAATCCTAAGGGTCCCTGAGACTCTCAGGGTGTCCATGACATTAAAACTACATTGACAGCAATAAAAACTTATTTGGGTTTTTTGTCCATAGCCTTCATGATGTGATAACATCATTGCTCTGAAGGCTAATGGAAGGTGCAGGTTTATAGCCCCTTTTGCTTTAAAAATTTCTCAGTTTAATTTCTGATATGATAAGTGTTGATAGATATCCCCAAAACAAACGGGCTTTGGGGTCCTCGATACTTTTCAGAGTGTCAAGGGGAGCTGCACCCAGGAGTTTGAGACCTACTGTATCAGACAGTCATGTGTCCGTGAAGAGCACCTGGTGGCGGGGGAGGGGTGGCGGGGGGTCAGCATATGTTAACTTCCTCATATTCTTAAATGTAAGACACTGTAAAGCAGTGGTTTTGAACCAGGGCAGAGCCACGTGTGTTTATCACGCTGCCGTTTACTGACTGTTGATGGCATCAGATCCGGTGGGCAGAGGTCAGGGCGCTGTTGCACATGCGGCGCGCATGAGGCAGCCCCCACGAGGCAGCCCCCCACAGCGAGTTCTCCAGCAAGGCCGAGCCGCCCTGCCCCAAAGTACGGCATTGGACCGAAGGGCCGCCTCGCTCCCGCCACTTCTGTGCCCTCCCTGGGCTTCTGTGGGGGCTGTTTCAGGTCTAGATCAGCAGCCAACCAGGAGTTAACAGAAAAGAGCAAAGGCCTGGGGTAGAGTCGCCCAAACCTAGCGCTTGGCCCCCCTCCTTCTCTTCAGGACCCCCCACAGTTCTGGCCCAAAATGTCAGCAGCGCTGAAACACCCTGGCTTACGGTGGCGTCTTCCTGTTTTCTAGGCTTGTTACAGTATTGTTACTTTCATAACTTGAACTATGAAGCCTTTCTTTTAAATTTTGAATTGCAGTTGACATTCGGTACTGTATTAGTTTCAGGTGTACAGCATCGTGCTTAGGCATTTATATGAAATCTTAAATCCTGAATTTGCATAGGAGTCGTCTCTGAGGAAGAGGGAAGAAAAAGAGGTTTGAGACATCCCCAGGGTTTGTTACAGTGGACGAACTAAACAGACACGGGGCTTTGTCTTGCTTTTCTGCGACAGGAGAACTTTGAGGTCTTTCTCTCGTTTGGAGATTACAGCAACTGCGCCCTGGTGGCAGAGCTCCGAGAACAGCACATCAGAGCCCAGGAAGCCGCCCAGGCTGAGCTCCCACCCAGGAGCTGCGTAGGGCCGCCGGCCGCCGGCGAGGAGGGCCCGGGCCCCAGCGCCGAGTCCAGGCTGCACCGGCAGGCGCGGGCCCTGCAGGTGTCCGATCAAGAGCTGGAGGCCGAGCTGACTTGGAGGGCCCTCGCTGACGGAAATGTGGGGACGGCGCTGAAAAGATGCAGGTGCGCCTGGCCCCCCGCAGCCCCTCTGGAGGGAACATGTGCCTTGTTTACTGCTGCCGTGGCCAGGGTAGGGCCAGAGACACTTGCAGTTTCACCTGAGCGACTCTTGGTTTCTCACCCTGGGAGCCTAATGGGACTTCTAGGTCAGAAAGGCGGAACACAGAGGACGGCTGACTAATGCTGGGTATAGTGAGGCGACCTACCCTTGGGTGAAGGTCACCTTGCACTCCGCCTGTTAATGGTATCCCAAATAAGCTGAAAAACGGAGCGAACTATATACTGTGAAGTCATTTTAGAAGTTGGTGGTGGTTATATATTAACCTAAGAAAGGCAAGCGCATTTGTGCTCGATATAAGTATTCTAACTCGCGACGCTTCCTTTCTTCCAAAGAGACTTGTTTAAGTATCACTGCAACCCCGACACTGGGAAATTGCTGTTTCTGGCATGTCAGAAGCTTTGTCACATGTTGGCGAATGACGTCCCGATGACAACTCCTGTGGGACTAGATCTTCCCTCCGAAATACACGATCTCGCGTGCCAGGCAGCCACCATCTGCAGTCCAGGTGACGAGATTTGTAATACGCATGGATCGATGTTCTCTGGTTCACGTCATACTTGTCTCAAATGCTCTCCCTTCATATTGGACATTGCAGTTGAGAGAAGAGGTTGTATTCCATTTTACAAAGAGACGATGATAATCAATTTTCTGTGGGAGTTATTGTTTTAAAATATTGCCATATAGTAACGATGGCATTTCTGACCATTGACGACGTCTCCGTTCGTAGGACTGTGAAATTCCTCCCCTACCCACACTTGCCAGCCGAGCTGTAGACAGCTGCCGGCCTGCATCGTGTAGGGTTATGTGGAAACCCCTCTCTCTGCTTTGTGGCCTTCCTTAGAATTTTGAATGATAATTATTAGAAGATCGTTTTCAGTATTCTAAACACAAGAAATATTAGTTTAATGATTTCTCTCCATTCTCTTTCAGATTTCTTACCAGATGCTTTAGAACTGTGTAAATACACGTTAACAGCCGTAGAGCTGTCCAGGCAGTGCCAAATGGGTGACGGTGGGATTCTGATGAAAGCAAGTTGCTTTTGAACTTCTTTTCCTTAAGCAAAAGCCCTGATAATCCATCATGCATCACTTGCGCATTGGGCCTCCAACGCAGCATCTCTGGACATTGTCCCTATCTTAGAGGACAGTCTAATTTAAAATGGCAGGCTCATAGGCCGTCAGCCAGAAGAAATAGGCTACACTGTTGTATTTGACCATCAAAACTGCATTCAACTCATATCTCTGATTCTGGGTTTTGCGTGGTGAAGATAGTTTTGGGTGTTTTGGTGTCTACTTATTAGCACCTTTTCCGTGTGATTTGGTCTTTAGACTTCTTTTGGGACTCACAAAGATCCCTATGAAGAGTGGTCATATGGAGACTTCTTCAGTGAAGATGGGATAGTCCTCGAGTCGCAGATGGTGCTCCCTGTCATTTACGAACTGATTTCATCCCTCGTCCCTCCAGCTGGTAAATCTCCTTCATGTTGTTATTTTCTGTGTGTTTCTACTTTATTTATGCAAATTTAAAGTAGAGGTTCGGAGCTAGAACTACACACGATAATACGGATGAAGCCCCCAGGTACCATGCTGACCAAAAGAAGCCGGACCCACAAGAGCATCTGTGTGATGTGACTATGTGCTCCGTGAAAGAGTTATTTTAGTTAGTGTCATTAATTTGTTCTTTTTTGTAGAAAGCAAGAGACTTCCCCTGGACTTTACAAGTTTACCATACTGCTCCATTAGCGAAGGTATTTGACACTGGAAATGTACACCATTATATTATGATTTTGTAAACATATAGAAATTCCTTGAAATTCTGGATATGAATCTGACTTAATGTTCTTAATGTAATTAGTTATTACTTACACTGTTATTTTTCCAAAGGGTCAGAAAATGGTGTCATTCAGCTTTCTAGCCTAAACATTTTTTAATGTGTTCATAAATTTTGATCTTTCAAGTGGAGAAATGATTTCCCCAGCTAATGATTTAAGCATCTCAAAATAGGCAAGTTACAATCAAAATACCTCATGATCTAGCGAACTTAGAGATTTTCTGGCTTAAATCAAGCGCCATGTTAACTCTCTCATTTACTAACTTTGAGACTGTTACCTGCGTTGAAGAAATATGCTCTCCCTGAAAACAGTGTCCGATGATATGATCTATCTTTGGTTAAAAACATCTAAATATTGACACACCCTTATCATTTCCCAGGAGACGGCCTTATTTTACCCAGCATGAACTCCATCTCGGCCCTGCTTCAGAGCCTCCAGGAATCCAGCCAGTGGGAGCTGGCCCTGGGGTTTGTCGTCCGTGCCTGTGGCACCTGCCTTCAGTACTCCGTGTCCAACTTCATGGATGCCAGCCTGAGTGAAAAGGTGTCGTTTTGAGAACAAATACCTTCATTTTGAGTGAACACAGACATAGAAGCAGTGCCAAACAAAGGAATCTGGAGGCTACTTTTCCCATTTGGCTCTGTAGCAAGGAAATCGATGATTTGTCAGATTTAAGAAACATTTGTTGAGCATCTACAAAGATTCCAGTGGTGTTCTGGGTCCTTGCACACATTTCATACTCAACCCTTATAGCAACCCTGAGACTCTGCATCTTGCAAATGAGGAAACTCCCATGTTGGGAGGTAAAATAAGGTACCTGAGGTATTAGGGTTGCAATAAGTCAGCCTTCTTAGTCCGAGCCCAGGGATCCCATTACATCAAAACTCTGTCTGCTGTTCGTTGTGTGGCCCAAATTGTTATAATTATTACCTGAAGGCATCGTGGACAGATTAAATTCTAGGAGGCAAACTACCTGTCGATAACTTGCTTTTGAATCTGGTCTCAGGGGGTGACGTTCATTTCTCCTAGTCTGTTGCTGTTTATTAAAGGACAGTTGTTAAAAACCAGCTTTATGGAAGTCTAGCTTTCAAAATTAAAATGCATGTATTTGAAGTGTGTCAGCCAATGTATTCGCTTTGTCAGCAACACCACAATCAAGACCCAGACTCAAAGGTACAGACCAATTTAAAAATCAAGACGTTTTGCCCTTTCCCAGCCAATTCTCCCCCAGCCCCAGCTTTCTGTCATTATAGATTAAACACCAATTCTTCTGGCATATAATGAATTTTTGAAGTTCCTTAATATTTTACAGAAGTTTTCAGAATGATGCATAGAAGTGGACCTCACATGTCTTTTGTTCTTCCTGAAAGCTGTTTGGAGAGGCCTCATTAGTGAAATCAAGGCAAGTTATCATGGCGTTGAAAGAGAAAGCCGTGCCGTTCGTCAGGGGAAACGCTACAACCCTGTTGCACAAAGTGAGTATTTGTGCTTGGCAGGCTGTCCCTCCCCACCCCCTTCTAGTTGCTTCTCACGGCTCAGTGACAGTAACAGCGGGGAGGGGAGGGGAGGGGAAGGAAAGCGGTGAGACCGCCGTCCTGCCGGAGGGCAGGCAAGGGCTCTGGGCCGCAGAGAACAGAATGGTCAGGGCTGCTGTCTGTAGATTTACGGTGTTGGTGAAGGAGGTCGAAACTGTGTTCCAACAGCTAACATTTTATGGAACATTTGTTCTTTCCTAGGGTCTATAATTAAGTTTAGTGATGAGCCTTTAGAGCTTGGCATTCTGTCTGGATTGTGAAGAATTTGCTTCTCTTGATGCTTCTTCCTGTAGGTTTTTAATTGTCGCCTGGTGGACCTTGACTTGGCCTTGGGCTACTGCACTCTCTTACCCCAAAAAGACGTGTTTGAAACTCTCTGGAAGCTCATAGATAAAGCGTGGCAGAATTACGACAAAATTTTGGTATGACCTGGAAGCACACTGTCAGTGCTTGAAGTGGTAAAGACTTAGGGGAAGAAATGGAGTTGGCTTTGCCATCAGACCTTAAGACTTAGCAGAAGGGAAGTCACACTAACTCACTTGGTTCCTGCCAGCTCCTGCTTGCCTGGTGACGCATTAGGAATGCATCCAGGTCCTAAGCATCGCCCAACCTAAAGGATCGCTGGATGTTTTATTTCTTAAAGTCCACATGCAGCCATTGAACCTCACTTCTGAGGCCTACTTTAGTGTATTGAAACCTTAGACCTGTGAGCTGGTTCTTTCTTGCAGGGCAAGTTTAACAGATACAAAACCTGTCTTTGATGTGTGTGTTTTAAAATTTGCCTTTGGTGGGGGTGGTGCAGTTGCAGGATAATTAAGATTTGGCCTTTCCTTATACAGAAAAGACAGGCTAAATTTATGGCATCGTACCAAAAGCTGAATGGCCTACATATTGTATAAGTAATGACTGTGCACAAAGCAACATGTAACATTTCACATTGTTAGCACAAAGAAAAGTCACAGTTTCTATCGCTGGCTTTTGTTTTTTAGGCAATATCTCTGGTGGGCTCGCAGCTGGCCAGTCTCTACCAGGAAATAGAAACAGAGCTGAAGTTTCGTGAGCTCAGTACTGACGCCCTGTGGGGGATTCGCCTCGGTAAACTTGGTGTGAGTATTGCTCGTAGCGCCAAGAAGTTTCATCAGTTCTCGTATCTACTGAGTTAGAAAATGCAAAACATCGTTCTCCTTCACTTTTGGGGAGAAGAGGAATATGTATATATACCGACTCATAAACTTTAGGTGTAGTAAGGACACACATTAGGGCTTTCAAAGAAATAAAGAGCCTTTTGCCTCATTTCCTATTTTCTATATTTTTAAGGAAATTAAAAGAGGCTTGGCTTTTTTATTTTTTAAAGATTTTATTTACTTTTAGAGAGAGGAGAAGGGAGGGAGAGAGAGAAACATAGATCAGCTGCCTCTTATACACCCCCAACTGGGGACCTGGCCTGCAACCCAGGCCTGTGCCTGACCAGGGATCAGCCACAGACCTCTTGGTTCGCAGGCCAGCACTCAGTCCTCTGAGCCACACTGGCCAGGACAGGGCTTGACATTTTTATCAGCTTAGTTTTCTCATTTATAGGAATATAGCGAGCCTTAGTTGACATTGAAAGCATTTCAGGCCTAGTCTTTAGCCTCATACTCTCATACTACTGTTATTTGGTTAATGATAATATCAAAATTATGGACAGGTGTACCAAGTTTTAAGAACTCCTACTAAGGAAAAGTAAGTGGCCCTTATTTTTCACTTTGCAGAAACAAACAAGATCCTGTCTTCTTTACTAAAACATAAAACATTTTATTTAGTTTGCAGGTAGTTGACCTATCAGGAAGGTAGTTGTTCAGAAATGGTGTATGTTTTGGAGCCTAATTCCTATGCAGTAATGGGACCACTTATCACCAGCAACCAGACTTACTGGTGAAGGGCCAAGGGTCAGTGTGACTAAGAGATTTTGGACCAACCACCAGATAGACCTGAAATCTCAGACCTGTGGTCAGGTCGGGTAGTACGGTAAAAAAACAAGATGGAGGAGCTACAGAAGGATGTTTTTCTATAAAAAAAAAAGGAGAGTGAAAAGGCATGTCACAATGGTGTCCTTATGCTTACACAATTCAGTTTAGTGGACTTTCCTGTTTTGCTCCTTTTGTTTCCAGATTTCTTTTCAGCCAGTTTTCAGGCAACATTTTCTCACCAAGAAAGACCTCATCAAAGCTCTTGTGGAGAATGTGGATATGGACACAAGCCTCATTCTGGAATACTGCAGGTAACCCTTGAACTTCCACGGCATTTCCGCTGTTAGCCTAACGAACTGGGAATCCCTTGCCGCGGGAACTCAGTAATCGGGATGGGTGTTGCGTGTGGTCCACAGGTCTGTGATGCTTTCCTTTGCTCTCCCCAAAACCAAGTACAAATCCAGAAGCAGATTAAATTCTCTTCAGATGCCACCACTCGCACTCCCCGGTCCACGGTCAGCGTTCCTACACTTCCCACCTGATAAGCACCGCCCAGGGCCCGTGGTCGTGGCCCCGGGCTTCTCCTGCTGAGGCGCTTCGCCGCTCCCGTGACCGGGGACGGTTGGCGTGTTCTGAGCGGTCAAACCTCAAAGTCAGACCCAAGTAGGGGCAAGGGACCTTAGATGGAAACTCAGTGGAAAGTAGGATTTAGGGAGAATTTTTCAAAATGTAATAAGTGAATTAAAAAATTAAAGACTAGATGTTACTTAATAAATCCTTGACGGGCACGGCACTGCACCGGCTCCGTGACCAAGGGCCTTCGCAGGCGGCTTGCTCTGGAATCTGGTGCCAAATACCCACTGGCGCCACGTGCCACGGTCACCTCTCCCCAGTGACTGGTTTTCTTTCGCTTGCCACCAGGAGTCGCTGTATCGTTCTTTGCTGTGCACACGTAAGCGCACCTCTGGCCTGGGCAGAACTCAGTGTCACCCTGAGCGCAGACACCCAGTTCTACGGGGCGCTGTGAGCCCCCGGCTCTGGGGCCCCGCTGACAGCACGCGCACCCGCCCTGGGCCACAGCCCCGCACGTGTAGGCCGTGCTGGGAGCCCAGGTGCCCGTGGGCCTGTGCAGGCCCCAAGGTGGCAGAAGGATCAAGGTTGATCCCCGATTTTTGTCAGGCAGCAGTGAACTCCGCTGACAGGCGGATTACCTGGTCACAAGCCTGGACGGCGGGAGGGCGAGGCTCCAGCGCTGGGAGCGCAGACCTAGGCCTGCTGGGAGGAATTCCGCGTGGAGACGCAGGCCTTCGGGGGCATGGGGAGTGACTGACCTCCTCTCTTAGCACCTTCCAGCTGAGCTGCGACGCGGCCCTCCAGCTGTTCATCGAGACCCTGCTCCACAACCCGGGTGCCGGCCAGGGCGACGCGGGCGCGGGTCCAGCCGAGCGGCCACACTCCCAGCTGCTGGCCCGGGCCCTGGAGACGGTGCCCCTGCTGACCAGCACCAGGGAGCTGGTCATCAGCCTCAGCGGCATCCTGCATAAGGTGGGCGGGCGGCGGCTGGGGTTGTCAGGCACCTCGGGCGTCCCTTCTGCCCTTCATTATTCCATATATAGGAACAAACTGGAAACGGAAGACCTGCATTGCTTATAACCTTTACATTTTCAAGTAGTTTTAGCTTTCTGTATTTTTGATACAGCTTAATGGAGCAGTTTTTCTGTCTTTTTTAAAAAATAGAAATAGCCTCTTTTTTAGATTTTGAAAAATAGCACACATTCTTTGAAAAATATCAATTTAGAGAGAAAGGCATAAATCAAAAGGTGAAGGCCCTGGCTGGGTAGCTCAGTTGGTTAGAGCATCGTCCCAATATGACAAGGTTGCAGGTTCAATCCCCGGTCAGGGCACATAAAAGAATAAACCAATGAATGCATAAATAAGTAGAACAACAAAAATCAATGTTTCTCTCTCTCTCTCTCCCCCCTCCTTCCTCTCTTTCTCTCTAAAATCAATCAATAACTTTTTTTAGAGTGAAAATATTTAACCCACTCCCATAGATTAAAATGTTAATAGTTTAGTGACTATCTTATGCTAAACATATTATCCTGTACTCTCTTTTTCACGTAATTATACTCTTATTATGTGTCAGTAAATATCCACCTATCTCATTTTTGTCAAGTACCTATTTATTCACAGTATGGATGAAATGTACTGTACTTTACCAGGCCTTTATGGATAAACATTTAAATTGTCAATTTTGTTACTATGGATATCTTCATGCATACATATCTATAGATATAGAATTTTTTTTTTTTTTTTTTTTTGGTTAGGAGATCTGAGAGTTGGAACTTTTAGGTCTAGGGGTAGTTTGGTGGGGGGATGAAGTTAGATGGAAGGGAAAATAGGATTATAAGAAATACTCCAGTTTTATATCTTGCCTGTAGTTCAGGCAAAAATTATATATAACTTGCTCAAAATTTGTAAGTACCATAGATATCATCTTCCCACTTTGTTCAGTGTTCTTACTCATGTGACTTTGGTTGGCATTTAAAAAATGAAAAAAAACTAATGCTGTGTGAGCAGAAACAAAGAACAAAGAGAACACTTCCTTTCCTTTGATGAGCCCGTGGCGCCACGGGTGAACCCTCCCTCTCAGCGGGCGGTTAGCGCTGGACCGGCGCTCGGGGCGGCTTGCTTCCGGGCCGCACTCTGCGTTCTCGTTCTAAGAACAGGTCGATTCCTCCTCTCCTCGTCTTCCCGTCATAAGTGGAAGAAATAGAACTTTAAGATCTTAGAAAATTATGAAATTTTCATATGTTTATCTTTTTAGGGTTTTAGTACTGTAAGAGCATCTTTCTTTAGTAAAACAATATTGTCTTATCCAGCTTTTTTAAAGAAATGAGTTTTGAGACATTTTGGAGTTATGTGTGTCTACCTTAATAGAACTAATCTTAGAAAATTCTTGTTTTTAAAAGAATAATCTGCTCTAAATTGTAGAGCACTGAGATTTTAGGTTTGTAATCTCTGTACTGATGAACATAGCTGAAAAAAACCATCTACCAGTTGGCAACATCGTTTCAAGTTTTGATGTTTTTTGTTTTTATATAGTTGAATCCCTATGACTATGAAATGGTTGAAATTGTCCTGAAAGTTATCGAAAGAGCTGATGAAAAAATAACCAGCATTAATATAAATCAGGTACAACAATTACATTTTTCAAATTATTGTTTTGTTTTTATTTGGATCTTTAAAAAAATTATTTACCAGTGTCTTTTTAGACTGTTCTTTGAACTTCCCTTAAATACCACATTTTATTCTAGTTCCTTTTCTTTAAAAGGGATACAGAAGTAAGATTTTTCATGCTCTCTATATTTTATCACTTATCTTAATCCAATTTTCGCCCTACTGAGGCGATTTAAATCAGAGCGTATGGAGTCATGAGCAGACTGATTTGGAAAAAAGATGGCAAAATTGTTTGTCATCTGGGAGAAATTTTATCTGTATATAGTAGCCAGGCGTGATTCTGCTTCTCTATGAGCAGGTCGGCCCAGGCCCAGGACTCACTCAGTTCTGTTACAGTGCTTGCAGTCACTTCTTAGTTTCTTCTGAATTTTAGTCATAGTAGCTTTTATATCTTCTTTTTAAATTGGATTTTAAAACTTAAAATGGGTTGATTCGAAAGGTTATTTATATGAGCCTGAAAAAAATATAAGATAGAAACTGAAGCGAAGCACGGGCTATGGCCAGCTTGTGGCAGACCTGCCGCCCCCGTGTTCAGAGCGAGGTCTGGGGTGAGGGTCCCAGGGGCAGGGGCGGGCTACGGTCCGACTTTGGGTGGCGGGCGCACAGTGCACTGTGCGGACCATGTATCATGGAGGTGTTTACTTGAAACCTATGTAATCTTCTTAACCAACATCACCCCAATAACTTTAATTAAAGAAAATATAAAATGAAAAATAAAATCAGGCATCTTGGAGCCATCTCTCAAACTGTCTGAAGAGAGTAGGGGAGCTGCCAAACCCTCATTATAGAGCACCCCTCCAGCAGCGGGGCTCCGTTAGTTTTGCCCAGTGTAATCTCCTTAATGACCATAGAAATCACGGTTTAGAGCAGTGATTTTCAACTTTTTTCATATCATCAACTAATTACTAAAATTCTGCACTATACTAAAAAATTTATTATATTGTTTGCCCATCTGACAGCAAATATAAGAAAAATTTTGATTATTTCACACCAAGCAGCTACTGTTACGTTGGCTGTTGTCATTTTTTTATTTTGACAATCTAAGGGAATCTAACGAGGTCTGTTCCCCTGACCAAATAGGCAGGTATTATGTGTTTTAAAAAACTCTTGCAGCGTCCTGGCTATTGTGGCTCAGTGGAGTGATTGCGGGCCTGTGAACCAAAGGGTCACCGCTTCAATTCCTGGTCAGGGCACATGTCTGGGTTGCGGGCCAGGTCCCCAGTTGGGGGTAGGTGATAGATAACCGATCGATCGGTATTTATCCCTCTTTCTCCCCTTCCTTCCCCTCTCTCTAAAAATAAATAAATAAAATCTTTTTAAAAAATTATTACAGCACAGTGATTGAAAACTGCTTGTTTAGAAGAATAACATTAAAAGTAAAACTATAAAAGGTTTTGATCACATCTTGATGAAAACAGTACGGTCTCAGAAATGGAAACCTATGATAGTATAGATGATTTTAAAACACTTAGGATTAATTTAATTTCAAAGGCAAATATTTTTATTTTAATATAGGCATTGAGTCTTCTACAACACTTGAAGTCATACAGAAGAATTTCTCCTCCAGTGGACCTAGAATATCAGTATATGCTGGAGCACGTAATAACTTTGCCATCAGCTGCCCACACTAGGCTGCCTTTTCACCTAATATTTTTTGGCACAGCACAGAACTTCTGGAAAATTCTCTGTATGTTCTTTAACCTTTAACTTATGAATTTTACTGAAGAGCCAAAATTTTCTTCTGAAGCAACTCACGCTGTCCTTGTCTCCTTTCCAGCTATGGAACTCAGTGAAGAGTCCTTCCCTACACTACTCTTAATTTCTAAATTAATGAAGGTAAGAGGTGAGAACGTTGTGAGACGTTCCTTTGCCCTTTCATTAATCCAGACCCTGGGCGGAGGATTTTATGCTGCTCTCACATACAACCTGTAAAGGGGAGCCTATCAATCCTCCCTAACTCTTCTCTTCCCCTTTGAAGTTCTCTTTGGACACTCTATATGTGTCTACAGCCAAGCATGTCTTTGAAAAAAAACTGAAGCCAAAGCTAGTGAAGTTACCACAAGCTAAGTCCTCAACACTGATCACCAAGGAAATATGTAAGATCACTCAGACCATCGAATCCTACTTGCTGTCTATCGTGAACCCCGAGTGGGCGGTGGCCATCGCCATCAGCCTTGCCCAGGACATCCCGGAAGGTAAGCGTCTCCCTCTCTCCACCTTCACAGTGGTCAGCGGTGTTGCCTTTTGAGCTTGTGGTGTGTGCTTTTATAGCTTTAGGGAGAAGCGGTATGATCGTTCGAAAAGGTGTGTGCCTTCTCTCCTCCTCAGTTAAAATGGCCCCACTCAAGTAAGCAAGACCCCTCGCTGCTTGCTCGGGGGGTGGGGGTGTAGGCCCCGCCTTGGCAGTGGGGATATAAATTGATGCTTAATTCCCCATATCCTGTCATACTTCCAACAATGAGTCCTTAGATAGTCTCGTGTGATCAAACAGGTACACAAACACAGGCTCTCATTACCATGGTTTTTGTTGTAACAAAAGTTGAAAATAACTTTTTTTTTTAAATGTTCATTGGTCAGGAACTGGTTTGAAAAATAGCACATATTCACAGAATGGAATTCTATGTATTTGATTTGGAGAGATGTTCAAGATGTATATTAAGTGGGACCAGCAAATGGTGCCGTGTGTGTGATCTTACCCCTTTGGGTTAAAATGTGTGCGTGCACACAGAGGAGACTTCTGGAGGGATGAATATAAGACTCTAGGGAGTCGATATAGAAGCTGAAGAAGGGGCCTCTAGATTTACTTTCTACTTTGTGTTTTTCTGTCCTGCTTCCCTTGTTCTTTACTGTAAGTATGCATTTTTATAATTTAAAAGAAAACAACTTTGCTACCCTGACTGAAATACATTGTCTTGAAAAGATTACGACTTCCTTCTAAATCTCTTCTCTATCTTTTTAGGCTCTTTCAAGATGTCCAGCTTGAAATTCTGCCTGTATTTAGCCGAGCGATGGCTGCAGAACATCCCGCCGAAGGTGTGTCCTGGCTGTGGGAGGGGAGGCTCCCCTTTCCTTTCCATTTCAAGTGGTTCGAGCGCGCTCACCGCCCCTCCGCCCCAGAGTTGGGCTTTTCCAGGCGTGTGCGGCCGGGCCTGGGGCGGAGCAGGGACTGAGGCCTTCGTGCAGGGTGCTTGATGGCATCCCTGAGGCAGGGCCCTCCCTGGCCTGGAAAAGGTGGGTCCTATGCTTCACTGGAGATTTTGAAAGCAAATGTTTCTTTTTGCTTGGGACTTTTTGAAGGACGAAGCACGTGACAAAGCCGAGGCTTTGCTGAAGAAGCTCCACGTTCAGTACCGGCGGTCCGGCACAGAGGCCGTGCTCATAGCGCACAAGCTGAACACGGCCGAGCACCTGCGAGACATCGGAAAGCCGGCTCATCTCATCGTCAGCCTGTACGAGCACCCGAGCATCAGTCAAAGAATCCAGGACCCCTCCGGCAGGGATTATCCCGGTGGGCGCCAGACCCCTTACCTTTTGTCCGAAGAGAACCGTCCTGTTGATTTCCGTCATCTCTCATTGAGAAGGTGGATTTTTCTGTTTTGAATTCTTTATCTTGTCTATCTTAGATATTCATGCAGCAGCTAAAGAAATAGCTGAAGTCAATGAAATTAATTTGGAGAAAGTTTGGGACATGTTGTTGGAAAAGTGGCTGTGCCCGTCCGCAAAGCCCGGCGAGGTAAGTCGGCTCTCACGAGCGCCCCTCCTGCCCGCCGCGCCAGGCGGACAGCCTCTGACGGGCCCGGGACCCTCTCAGAGGGGGCTTCTGTTCCCTGTGGCATCTTCCAGTATCTGCTCAGTTTTAAGGAAGTTGTTTACATTTTCTTTTTGCTTAAATATTGTTTTGCAACAATTTTACCCTTTAATTGGTGGTTCCAGATGAATACATATCTAAAAGAAACGGCCTCTTCTTACCCTCAGATTCATGGGATTCACTTTTTATTTTGAAGTAAGTTTAAACATACAGAGAAGTTGCGGTAGTGTAGAGGAACCCCTGTCTCTCCTTCACCCGGCTCTACGGTGTTGAACGTTTTGCCGCATTTGCTTCGTTACTCTCCCTATGATATTACATGTGTATATTCATAGAAGTTTTCTGAACCATTGGACAGTAAATTGCATATGTCTTGCCCCTTTCCCCCTTAATATTTAAGAGTAAATTTCCTAAGAACAAGGCTTTTCTCTTACTTAGCCACAGTATAACTATCAAAACCAGGTAATTTAATATTGACATAATATTGATACAGTACATAGACTTGAATCTGTAGTCCTTGCTACATTTAACTAATTGCCCTAATAATGTTCTTCATAGCAATTCATCCTGGGAATGAAGTTCAGGAGTACGCTCTGCTCTTATATGTCACCCGGCTAATCTCTAAATCTATTTAGAGCAGTCCATCACTTCCTGTCTTTCATGACCTTGACATTTTTAAGAGTATCATCCAGTTACTTTGTAAGCTGCCTCTCCATTTGGATTTGTATATTTTTTCATGATAAGATTTGAACTATGGATTTTTGGCCAGAAGACTACCTGAAGGGTACTGTGTCCTCCTCAGGATGTGCCATTTGGAGGCACAGATGTCTGTTTGCCCTAATAGGGGAGGTTAATTTAGATAACTTAGTAAAAATGTTGTCCATTTCTCTATTACATAGTTACTATGTTTCCCTTTGTAATTATTAGGGGAGATACTTTGAAACAATAGAATGTTTCTCTTCAAACTCCTCCCCCACCACATACATGCCCCCGATTTAACATCTACTGAGAATTCTTACTTGAACCTATTTTAACTCTGACGGACACTGATGTTTTTGAAGAGTGCAGGCTGGTTGGTTTGTACAATATTTCACTATGGGTTTGCTGATGTTTCTGATGATTATATTTGGGTTCTATATTCTTGGTAAGAATATTAAATAGGTGATGTGTTCTTTCCGTGTATCATAACAGCGGTACATAATGTCAGTACATAATGTCAATTTTTTAGAAATAATAGCATTAAATCTAAATTTTTGGAGTTTTCAGGCAGAACTTAATTGGAGATTCTGTAATTTCTCTGTCTGCCTAGGTTGATATCCCTGGAAAAAATCTGTAAGCAGATAGTGTAACTGACAGGACATTAGGTTTTTCATTAGTAGTTTTTATATCACTTGGCATTCAATTTCACAAGTATTTTTAAAGTATTTACCAGGAGCAAGATCTGTGCTTCAGTGAAAACGGAGGTATTAGAAGCACATCTAAGCCATTTAGAATTTGTGGTTGACACAGGAGCCAGAATGTTTTAACTTATAAATAAATTTGGAGAACTAAATTGCAAGTTCTCCCAGGCTGAGGCCAGGAACTTTGTACATAGCGCCTAAAGCATTGCTTTGTAAATTCCAATGAATGCATACTGAATTAATGAGCGACTCACTTAAAATTCATAGAGTCCTTTTCTTTTAAAAGTTACCAGGTGAGGGTGAGCTTCAGGAGGACTGGAATATTTATTTTGTTTGCTCAGGCAACCCACGTGCCTGGAATTGCCCCGGCACATAGTAAGTGCTCAGTAAATGTTATATTTGATGGCCGAAGGAATGTTAGTAAACCCATTTTCTAAGCAAAATTCTTACAGTAATGAATTGTACTGTAATTTCTTGTGTGTAAATATAATTTTTTGTATTGGATTTTTTTATCTAATACAGTTTTATAAGTTTATCTAGTTCAACAAATGTTATTGAGTTTTGACTTTTTTTTTTTTCATTTTTTCAAAGAACCCACCAGAAATATTTGAACTCCAAGAAGACGAAGCACTACGGAGGTACTCTTTCTTTATTTACGTTTGTCTATAGCCTGCTGCCCAGTAGGACTCTTACTAATCAATTTGTCAGAGGTTGGCGTTGAAAATGCTTTCTTGATATAACCCGGATTAGAGCCTGAGAAGAATCAATTCCTTGACATAAGGCTGTGATAGGGATAAGTATCTCCAGTGGAGTAAATACGAAGCAGCCAAGATTCAGAATCTCTGACCCTCCGTGAGCTCCTGTTAAAGTTGAGGGCCCCGAGAATGCCTTTAGCAGAGACTGCACTGCAAGCAAAGAGAGACTCTCTCGTTAGCCCAGACCTTGGCCCCAGACCCTTCTGTGTTCTCTCGCTCTGGTGAGTTGGGCTGGGTCAGACACGGGCCACCAGGATTTCTTTTCCCTTCCAGCCTAAGACTGAGACCGAAAAAGGCACACCGGTTTCATCCGATGTGCCAAATCTGATTGGCCGTGGCTTGTTCTCGTGAGAAGGCTGTGTCTGGGCCCCAATCCAACCCAGTGTGGCAGTCTGTTCCTGATGCTTGGCCTGGGCCCGGCAGAGGGAGCGGCGACCCGCATGCCCGTGCCTCCCCCTCCTGGTCTCGCCCAGAGTAGGGCAGGCCGCCCATCCAAGGCCCTGCCTCGGCCCTGGAGACCGGAGAGGGGGTGTGGGAAGACATACCCAGGGAAGGCTTTCTGCTGTTTGGACAGAGCTGGCCTCCCACCCCTCCGTGACCCCCTTTCCTGTGGGCTTCACCTTGTCCTTGCAGTCTTGGAAGGGCAGGGGCACCTTAGCTAAGCATGAGGCAGCTCCTGGAGCGTCTAACTGCATCAGCCACAAGGGAGGTCTTCAAGGGAAACAATTGGAGGAGGGGGGAGAAAACCCCAGAAAGGAAATCTCAGAGGGGGTTTTCCTTCCTGCCAATTTCATCACTTAGCCTCCTCCCACGGAAAGCCCCACCCCCACCCCCAGGGCACCTGCCCCACCTTGCTCTGCTCTGGAGGGAGCCTTTCAGCCCCGAGTCTGCAGGTTCACATGTGCCACCTATGATGTCCCGTGAACAAAAACAGCATTGTCCGTGCATAGCATCCAGTGTGCTCTGCAGCTGCGGTTTGTATTGGTTTCCTACAGAGAGAATTTACATGATCAAAGATTGGCTAGCCATTTTATAGATGAGAAGACTGCTGTATCTGTGATGGTCCTTAGAAAAAGGGGAAAGCAAACACGTCCTTGACCCATAACCCTTCAGGGCTATGTTTGGGGTGACTTTCTCTGTGGACAGTAACACAGGTCTGTTGTTTTAATAATCTGTCACTAAATTAAAATCTAAATGTGATTAAAAACCTCTTTTCAGAGTCCTGTATCTCCTCCTGTCTCGTCCAATTGATTACAGTTCAAGAATGCTGTTCATATTTGCAACGTCGGCTACCACTGTAAGTCCTGGAGCGGAGTCAGAACTCATGTCTGTGTCGCAGGTGGCGCTTCTTCCTGCGTGTTTACCGCGCTTGCTATCACTAACAGATGATTAAGACAATGCTCACTTATACACGTATTTAAAGTATATCTCCTCACTTTGTAATGTGCCAGCCCCATTCAGGGCTGGCTTCTGTGACAGACTGAGCGATGTGCCTGCCGACAGGTCCCACGGGCCACCTGTACTCACGGCATTCACATGCTGGCTACTCGGCATTCCTGATGGGAAGGCGCCAGACAGGAGCCTCCTCCCGGGCCTCAAGGCCCTGCGTGGCCGGGGTGCCCTGAACTTGAGCTGGACTCGGAGACCCCTTTTCCCCTCCCTGGAGGCCACGGCCTCTTTGCTTTCAGGCTTTTGCCTCTAGAAATACGCTGAGGCGGTAGGAACCCAGGGAGAGCAGGGAGGAGGAAGGAGGAAGAAAGCGGGGAAGCCCGAGAGGCTGAAGGGGAAACACCCCCCTTCCTCACGTATGTTAGCCTTTCTTTCCCTGAGAAATGGTGCTGCCGGAGGAGGGCTGGCCCACTTGCATGGCAAGTGCTTTCTTGGCAAACAGCGCCGCTGCTGCCCACGCCCTTCCCGTGCACCCAGAGCATCGGCGAGGACGCTGACCAGTGTGAGTGGGCACGAACTCTTATTAGCTCTCATTAACATATAATCAGGAGTTGAGGTTTAATAAAATTAATTTTTACTGCTTCAAGAACTCACGCAGAAGCCGCCATCAGGTGCGGGGCTCTGCGGACAAGGTGGCCGCTGCAGCCACCGGGTGTCGTGGCCTCGATGCGGCCGGCGGCTCTGTCGGGAGAAGGGAGTGGGCCAGCCCTCCCGGAGGAGCTCGAGGAACGCTCCTCGGGCTTCTGCGGGTCACGCGTTGCCAAGCACTGCCTGCCCCGAGCAGAGGCACAGTGTAACGCTTTGAAAAAGTGGCGGTGCTCGTGCCACCTGAGCGTTGACCAAGCACAACGCGTGCGCGTGCGACTCCCCCACCTTCTGTGGTTTTACAGACGCTGAACACGCACCAGTTAACGTTTGCCCACAGAACACGGGCTCTCCAGTGTCTTCTCTATTTGGCTGACAAGGAAACTATAGAATCTCTCTTTAAAAAGCCCATCGAAGAAGTGAAGTGAGTAGAATGTTTAAAGCTGTGTTGCAAGATGGACAGGTCGTTGCTGGGAGGTGGAACTGGGGAGGCCCCAGTTCGGGAGAGTGCGCCTGGGCAGCACGGCAGCGGGGCCTGTGTGGCCTTCGCGTCCTGGAGCCTCTTGTTCCCTTGTCCCTCTGAGACATTTAGAAACAGAATGTTTCCTTCATCTTTCTAATATTATATTCAATGAATATATTTAGAAGCCTAAAATAGGCATTTAAAAACAAACAGACCTAATTTATCTGTATGGTGGCCCTTAAGTGTAAATGTGGCTTGTGAGAATGTTTTCCCTAAATGCCTCTGTTTTCCAGGTCTTACTTGAAATGCATAACTTTTCTGGCATCATTTGAGACTCTGAATATCCCCATCACGTATGAATTATTTTGCAACAGCCCTAAAGAGGGAATGATTAAGGGTCTGTGGAAAAACCACAGCCACGAGGCCATGGTACGTATGCAGGGTCCCCAAGGGGAGGGGCGCGTCTCCCCTGCCCCCGCCACTGAGCGCTGGCCCAGAGGACAGAGGCAGAGAAGCCTTTCCCGCTTTCCTGTCCCGGCGGGTGACAGGGCACCTCGGGAGTCCCCTTCCCTTCCTTCCTTGAGGCCTAGGGCCGTCCCCATCAAGAAGCAAGAGCACGTTCATAATGCTTCCTTTGCGGACAAAAGAAGAGATGCCCTGTGTACCGAGGGGCAGCGTTTCACTGCCTCCTGCTGGTTGATGGGAATTCCGTCTCTGAGGCAGTTGGAGCCCAGGCTGGGGTGGGTACGGGCACAAGAGGCAAACTGTTATTAGAAAAAAGAGAGGGGAAAATCTGAGGGGATGTGTGTGAATTCATGAAAACAATTTTTTAAAGGATGCTCTTAATCTCTTTTTTTTTCCCTTCCATTAGAAAGGGGGCCTTCATTGGATTCAGACAATAGACACAGCTAGACTAGAAGCATATTTTGTGTTGAGCTGCCCCACCTTTTCCAGAGGTGGTTTGATTTTCTGGGGTCTTAAAGCAGTATGATTTTTTTCCTGCTTTAGGCGGTAAGACTGGTGACTGAGCTTTGTTTAGAATACAAGATCTATGACCTGCAGCTGTGGAATGGGCTCCTGCAAAAGCTCCTGGGCTTCCATATGGTGAGACTCAGTGCCCTGGACTGTTTGGGGGGAGGGGGAGTGTTTTTTCCTGTTCTGAGGAGCTTCCTTTTGAGCCTGCAGTATGGGTTAAAGCTTTGGCCCAGCGTCTCCGACATCTTGCGCTGATCCATGTTACTGAACAGGTGCCCGCTGAGAACACTCTCACTGGGCTCAGGCCAAACTCAAAGAGCTTGGTGTTAAGTCAGAGAAATTGCGGAGTCAAAAATGATGTAAATGTCACAGGAAACAAATGGACGTTTCCCTGGCCTCCTTTGATATTTGTGAATTTGTAAGTGGACTGCTCCGGCGGTTCTCAGGGGAGATAAATTTGACCGATAGTCTTTTTGCAAGAATTTGATTGTTCACGTGGAAATTTTCTGTTCTGGTGATCTTTGGAATGTTTTTCTTTTCTTTTTTTTTCCCACAGATTCCTTATCTAAGGAAAGTCTTAACAGCCATTTCTAGTATCCATTCTTTATGGCAGGTATGTAGTTTCTGGGGGTTGTATTTTAAGTGAGTTTGATAGAATGTTACCTTAGGCGCACTGGCCGTGTGGCTGCTGGGCGTGCCAGTGAGTGACCGGCTCCGGAGGGGGAGCAGGTCCAGTCGGCAAAAGGCGGGTGTCCCGGGCGAGCAGTGCCACCTCCCCAAGGCAGCGCCCTCCCCAGCTCTGCGGGCCTCGTGTGGCCCGTCCTCATTCCCTCACCGTCTCCCGGGTTTGTCACAGCAAACCTACCTGAACGGCACCTGCCGTGGCCCCTCCTGGGCTGGGAAGGTCTTTAAAGCCCGAGAGCACGCCTCCCTCGTCTCCGACGTGCCCTCACTGTTGTGTAGAAATGCGTAACGTATTGGTGGCGTGTCAGCGCATAGAGAGCGATCTCACTTTTTAAAAATTAAGAGATAGTTCACATTTAAAATTTACCCTTGTAAAATGGACAATTCAGTTGTTTTTAGATATTCACAAAGCTTTGCAACCATCACTACCATCTAAGTCTAGAACATTTTCCTCACCCCCAAAAAACTCTGCGTGCGCCAGCGCTCACTGCTCACCCCTCCCCGCTGCCGCCCGGCAGGCGCTCGTTCACCTCCCGTCTCTGTGGGTCTCTATGGTACGTGGCCGTTTGCGCCTGTTCTTTCATTTCCTCTGATGTTTTCAAGGTTCATCCACATTATTCAGTGTGTTCAGTGCTTCATTCTTGTTGCTGCTGAACAGTGTTCTGTTGTGCGGCTATACCACGTTTTCTTTATCCATTCATCAGTTGACAGACATTTGAATTACTTCTGGTTTTTGTTACTATGAATGAGGCTGCTGTGAACGTTAGAGTACAGTACGTGTGTATGTGTTTTTGTTTGACTGTATACCTAGGAGTGGAATTGTAGGGTCTTATAATAACTCTGTGTTTGGCTTTTTGCAGTAGCTCTTTATTTTTAAATCTTAATTATTGTCCATAGTGAGGAGTAAAGTGTGCCATACCTTAGTTCGCCGCCGTCCTACTGATGGAAGTTTGTGTTCTTTCCTGATTCACTGGCAGCGTCTCCCTTGCCTCCTCGCCCCCTTCCTGTGGCCCGAGCACAGTCTCTGCCGTTGGAGACCTGGCACAAGTCTTGTTTCCCGAGGTGGCTGCTGACACTTTTCCCCAAGTAAAACAGTAATGAACTAGCAGGGATTATATATAATAATATCCTGAAATACACAGTTATGAAGAAAACTACCCTAGAATCTAATCACCTCAAGCACAGAGATATCCGTTTGTGGCCCTGGTTTTAGCTTCTAGCATAGGAGCTTCACGTGTATGGTTTGTGACTGTAAAATACGGAGTTTGCGGTGCCCCCGGCCTGAGCTCTGCAATGCGCTTTCTCCACAGGTTCCCTACTTCAGCAAGGCCTGGCAGCGAGTGGTGCAGATGCCGCTCCTTGCAGGTATTGTCACCCCCTCCCCGCGACAGGGACAGTAGCATCTCACACTGCATCTGTGTGTATACATTTTTGTTGTTTTTTATTTTCAGCCTCTTGTCCTTTAAGCCCCAGCCAGTTATCAGATTGTTGTGAGAGTCTCATCGCTATTCTAGAGTAAGTGAAATATTTGTTTTCCTACCAAAAAATTCCAATGTATTGCTTATAAAATTCCTTTCTAATAACACCTCAGGAGTAATTCCTTTTTCTTGGGAAGGTAAGGATACCACTTGTCTTTAAAATAAAATAGCTGTTACTTTTACCCTGTCTACTTTCTGTGCATGGCACAACCTGTGCCCTGATATTCAGCTGGTCCCCAGGTTCGTGTGAGTTGTGGGCACTCGCTTTGGCTGCCCGCGTGATACCGGGTTGTCCCGTGGATCTTGAGTCTCCTGAGGACTTGTGTTTAGGCACGTGGAGGCTCCCAGACGTGACTCTGTGGTGGCCGCAGGTCTGGGCCTTTGCCCCGGGCAGGGCGCCGTGAAAGGAGGTGCTCGTTGCTAAGCACATGCAGCACACCAGCCCTTTAACAGCTGAAGCTCTTGAAAGCATCAGCAGGCGACGGCGGCGGGAAACTAGAAACGAGTGGCTCTGACAGTGTCACTGGTGACTAATTAATGTTCCCCCTGGAAGGTGCCCGGTTTCAGGTGACCTGGACATGGTTGGCGTTGCCCGGCAGTACGTCCAGCTAGAGCTTCCGGCGTTTGCCTTGGCCTGTCTCATGCTCATGCCCCACTCGGAAAAAAGACGCCAGCAGATCAAGGTATCTTGGGAATTACCCCTCTGGGGCTGCCGCCGGCGCGAAGGCCTGCCCTTGTGTGTGCCCTGCAGGAGGTTGCATTGTCTTTTCGCCACACCTGGAACACGGGGCACAAGGGGCGGTTGGGGCAGGGAGCCGTGTGTCTCACTCGCCCGGCACAGCGGCGCTGTGGACAGGCCAGGGGAGCTGGAGGGCGTCGGCCCCAGGCGGGGGCGAGGGCAGGGGGCAGGGGGCCGGGGAGCAGAGAGCAAAAACGGACTAGACGGAGAGGAGGAGGAGGGCGACAGCCTCGCTCGGGGGTCGGAGTGGGGATCGGAGAGGGGACGGTCGGGGTGCGTGTGTGGGCACCAGAAAGGCAGCCCCAGCCGTGGTGAGGACAGAGCTTTAAAGTGACGCTCATTCCCTCTGTGATACACAACAAATAGGACAAAGCATTTGGAAATGTTTTGCAGCTCTTTCCCCAAAGGTAGATAAGCCAGTAGGCAGAGAGCTGTATAAATGAACACACATTTTTATTTGTCATTTGTTCCAGTCATTTCATTTTTTGCAAAGCCATCTGTGCTTATCTTTGACTTTGTTCTTTTTTGGCTATTCATAAACTCATCCATTGCTGCTTTTCAAAGTTTAGTATTTAAATAGATTCCTTTTGGCACTTAGAATGACAAAATGCTTGTTAAAGAGCTCTTGCTGTTGGAATGGGTTTTTGTAAAATGCTTCTTTCCTTATTTCAATAACTTTTTGTTAAAAGAAGTATTTTTTTCCTATAATGGAAATTTGTTAAGATATTTTAAATTTAAAAATGAAAACCTGCCCTGGCTGGGTCGTTCAGTTGGCTAGAATGTCATCCCAATACGCCAAGGTTTGCGTTCAGTCCCCAGTCAGGGCACCTACAAGAATCAACCGATGATGCATAACTAAATGGAACAAAAAAAATCGCTCTCCCCGCCCCGCAACCTCTCTAAATTCAATTTTAAAAAAAGAAACAGAAAACCTCACAGATTTGACAGAAATTGTAGTAATTATACTTTTTCATTATGTTTTGATTTTTTTTCTCTAGAACTTTCTGAGCTCGTGCGATCCTCAGATCATTTTACAGCAATTAGAAGAGCATATGAATACTGGCCAGTTGGCAGGATTTTCACATCAAGTAAGAAAATTTCATCTCCTTTTTGCTATGAAAAATTAGATATTAAAAGGTGATCATTTTCCCCAAACCAAGATAAAGCAGAAAATTACCATCTCCGTCTGTTTGTTAATATATACAATTATTTTGCTGTTTTTAAAACCTCTAAATTATTTTAAAAGCAGGCACCCTGGCTGTCTCATTTATTGCTATTCTCTTTAACTGTTCCAAAATGCTTAACAACCATTACTTTTTACCAATTCACTGTAGAAAGCACTGAAATGGGCCAAGGCAGCCCGCCCCTCAGAAAGGAGGCTTAGTTACAGCGTGATGAGGATCTAACTCCAGATTGTCATGAATGTTCTGGTATTGAATAGGACTTGGCACTTAACACATTTTAATATGATGATACCTGTCATTCTATAGATTCGAACTCTGATTCTGAATAATATCATAAATAAGAAGGAGTTTGGGATTTTGGCAAAGACAAAATACTTTCAAGCATTGAAACTACACACGATGAATACCAACAACATCTCTGACCTAGTAAACTATTTGGCAAATGAATTAAGGTAAGTGAATTTTTAAAAAAACAAACTAAAAAAAAAACAGAACTTGCTATAGAATTTCCTTAAAATTTATCTTTATTTTGGAGGAAAATGCCAAAACAATTATAGAGCTATTGGGTGTAATTAAAGGCTCCGGGCGTTATGCCCTGGCACCGCCGCAGAGGCTATTTGTCTCTGAGCCCAACCCCTGGGAATGTGAACTCGAAGTGGGATGACTGTCCAGGCCGTCTGGGCCCCGAGACCGGCGTCTCACCAGTCTGCTCTAACCCTGCGTCAGGGCTCTATTTCTTAGCATTTGCTCAAAGAAATGATAGCTTTATGTAGCATAATTTTTGCAAGTTTGGCCACCTAATTTTCCAGCACCCACAAGCTGGGAAACAGCAAGGTTCTTGGGGCGCGGCGGGGGGCAGGTTCAGAAAGTAACGAGGAGAGGGAAGCCGCAGGGGGCCCTGGAGAAAGGGGGGTCGGGCAGCCTGGGGCCTGTCCCCGCCTGCCCGTGCTGCCCGCCGGGCCGCGGTCCTCTCCGTCACCATCCCTGGACGGCCTCCTTTTGCTTATTGCTGCGACCACCGTGGTTACGTGTTGTCATTTGTGAACAAGCTGTTCTTTTTTGAGTTGTGATCCATATATAACAAGCTGCACGTATTGCGAGTACGCGACCGGATCAATTTGTCTACACCTGTGATACTGTCAGCACAGTCGAGACCACGCACAGTTGTCACCCCAAGTTCCTCAGGCCCTTCTCTCTCTCTCTGATGCCCCAGTTTAGACGAAGCCTCTGTCCTCGTAACCGAATACTCCAAGCGCCGTGGAGACCCTGTGCCGGCTGGCGCCGCCCCCTGTGAGATCCTGAAGGTGAGGCGGCCCCAGTTGCCCTGGCTCTGGCCTGACACCACTTCCACTCCCAGGGTCTCAGAACTGAGCCTGCTTGTCCTGGAGAGCAGTGTGTTTCTGCGTGTGTTTCACTTTTTGGATAGGATAGCAGTGCCGGGCCGCGGCCTCCTCCTAGCCCCGCGCCCACTGTGGCCCTCGCGTCCGGCCCAGCCCCTCAGGCACTTCGCGCCTTCCGGTTCCTCCAAGGCCTTGTTTTCCATGCTGACTCGGAGCGAAGCACTGCGTTTCAAAAGGCGTCAGTAGCTGTTGTGCTTGAGTGTTGAGTGCTTTTACATCTCCTTTTTTAAGTTACTGAAGACATAACTGTTCACTATGGAGAGAAGAGAAATTTGTAACAGCAAAAAAACCGAAAATCCTAATCTCTTGAAATCTCACCACCCAGACATAGTGTCGCTGTTAGCATTTGGGTGTATATCCTTCCAAATGTTGTCCTGTGTAAAATAGGCATATAAATTACTTTTGCTCCTATTTTGAATTTAAGTGTAAGGTAAATATTTTTACTTTGACCATAGATCAGTAGCTTTAGTAACTAAGTATTGTGGGGGTTTTTTCCTCCTTTGGTCAAAAATAGACATTAAAATAAGCCTACATTTCATTAACTTTCATTAATAACTTCCAGTGTGCACTTCCAGTCTGTTGTGCCCAGTGACATAAAATTACTGTTTTTCAAAAAGGGAGAATATTGATTCAGGTGATAAATTTGTGACCCTTAAAATTATGTTTTTCTCTAGTCATATTCATCTAAAATACTGAAGATGTTATGTGTAGATTTTTAGCAATAGAGTTGCTTAAAGTTCTATAGTTTACCTGAGCATTTTCTATTTAAAAAAGCTACATGACACTCATAAAAATACTTGTGTTTTTTTCCATTTAGATGTTTCTTAATGGATCATAGCAAATCGTCAAGCCTTTTTTCAGGAAGAACGAAGTTGGGAGCTTGCTATTAACGGACCATATTTATTGCAGTTTTAAAATTGTGCAATCTATGTGTTATAGCTATTGTCAAATATTACCTGACAAGTAGTAACTAAGACATTTGGTTGTCCCATTAAAAACTCGTATCCTGCATTAATTTTTGCTAGTTATTTGTGTAACTTACAGAGGCTATCAGTTTTTGTACCATATATGAAGAAAACAAAACGCAAAAATATTTTGCTTCCCAGAAGAAAGGCAGCCGCTTACAGCCTATTTCTTCCACATATAAAAATAAGAATATCAGTCTTTTTAGTATTATTCTAGTAAACGTGTGTATGATTTTTTGCTGTCGAGTGTGTCAGTCAGTGGCCAGCCAGAGAAAACGGAAAGCACTCTAGATAATTCAAGTGGAGGTGGATGGAATACCAGGAATCCAAAGGTGTTAAAAGAACAGAAGGCAAGAGGGAGATTCAGGGCGGGGGGCGGGGGGGGTGGCGGCGCTCGGGAGGCAAACAGGGGCCAGGGCTATGTGTCTAAGATCAGGGAGCTGCCCCACCGCCCCAGGGCTGGAGCCCGGAGCCCCTGTTGGCTGCAGAGCCCCGAGGCTGGGCCTGCCGCCTCGCCAGCATGCCCCCCACCCCGCTGCCCGGAGCCACCCTCCTCCGAGCGACCAGCAAAAGAGAAAAGTAGCTCTTTGCTTTCTCCAACATCTGATTCTCGGCCAGCGCCAAGGAATGACAGAGCCGAGCAGAAGCCCCCAGCCGGGAGTCTGGGCCAGGCACGGGCCGCAGGCCGGCCTGGGAGGGCGCAGTGGCGCCGAAAGCCGGCGGCCGCTCCGGGCCCAGAAAACGGTGGGCGCCCTTCCCCCGCCCGCCCAATCTGCTGCTGTGCTTGTGAAAAACTTGGTGGTACTAGAATTAGTTTGCCTTTGTTGGCCAGCTGAGAAAATATCATTTCTGTGCTAACATTGTATTTAAAACATGGGTTTTGGAATAAAATAAGTCTGGATTTGAATTCTGGTTCCATCCCATAGGAGCTCTGTGATCCTGGGCAAGCTACAGAAGTTCTCAAGCCCAAATTCCCCCATTTGTAAAGCCTCCTAGTTGCTGGAGATTTAAATGGTCATTGACTTACTGTCTTCCGGACATTTATATAGACTACACCAGTATTTTCCACAAAGCTCCTCCCATGTTTGCAATTATTTCCTTAAGATTCATACATTAATATATATTAGGAACAGATTTACCAGACCAAAGGGAATGAAGAACATTTTATTTATTTGTTTATTTCTGGAGAAAGGGCAAGGGAGGGAGAAAGGGAGAGAAACACAGATTTGAAAGAGAAACATCAGTTGCCTCTCATACTCCCCTGGCAGGGGACCGAACCTGCCACCCAGACATGTGCCCTGACCGGGAATCGAATCAGCGACCTTTCATTTTGTGGGCTGATGCCCAACCCACTGGGCCACACCGGTCAGGCCATGAAGAACATTTTTACGGCCCTGGATGCAAATGGCCGTTCCTGCCACAGACGAAGGTCTGTGCCACTGCATCCTCACTAATGCTGAGCGACCTTCTCAAAACTTCTCTGCTAATTCCATATGTGAAAATGGCATCTCCTTAGGCTGTGTTCCTTTGACGTTCGCATGATTAAACCTTAAGAAAACTAACCATAAGGCTGACTGTGCACACAGAGCCTGTGATCGTCATCTCGGGCATAAGCGTGCAAGGAGTGGAAGGGTCAAGGGGTGGCAGTAGAACGTAACAAATGGAAGCGCGTCGGCCGAGTGGGAGGGACTCCGCCAAAGACGGAGCCCTTCCGCAGGGTGAGCACCGGCGTCCCTGCGCAGCGCAAGGCTCTGACAGTGGAGGGGTCGCTTCGGGCACACCCGAGAAGTGATTTTTTGAAACAAATACATTTGAATTTAAGAGACAGTTATTGGACATTCAAATATGCAACTAGACAGGCTTCTTGTTAGATTTATTTTTTATTAGCCCTTGATCATTTTCTTCAATTCCACTCTTGTCTCCCTACTGTTGCTTAAATATATTCTTCAATCATAAGCCGAATAGTCTCCACAGCTGACCTCACGCCTTTCATCAGCCCCCCTTTCACTCAGCATGAGACCCAAGTGGCCAAGCGAGACCCGCTGGCCCCTTTGTTCAGATTAGAACCCGGGGTGCGCCCTGGGAGGACGAATTATCAAAAGCCTCCCCTATCGGCGGACCTGCAAAAGGACCCCCTGTGAGCGGTCCCACCCTTAGAAAGCACTGTGTTTAAACGGTGCATCTGCCACGGCTGCAGGCTCCCTGCGCGTTCGGGTGTCTCCTCCCAGCGCCCCCTACTCTGACCAGCCTTCCTCACCCGGCCCAGCTGCAGGCGCCTCGCTGCCATCCCCGGGACCAGCTGTGACACGGACAGGGACTTCCTTCACAACACCAACCCAGGTGGCCTTTGTTGGCTTATTTATCAGTTGTCTCACTCATTTTGCCGTGGTCCCTAGCACTGTGCCTCACATAGTAGACTCAACGAACAGGTGTGAGCCAGGTGGATCCTGATCACCCACGATCAGGGGAGAGCTTTCTCCTCGCGTGTTTCATCATCCGTGAGCAAATGACAGCCCCTCCTTACACCAAGAAGAACAGGGAAGTCAGCAACGCCTAAATGAGAACGGCACCATATTTAGTTTCTATGACTCATGCGCCTCCTCTCAGAGTCTCTTGCATCGAGAGGTGGCCGAATTTCCGCTTGACTATTGGAGGAGAGAGTTTTATTAGTCGGGTGATCTCCTTCCACGTCCTACAGGTGGAAAAGCTGACAAGATGTGGGATATCTGGCCTTCGTGCTGTGTCTCCGGGCCCCAGAGTTGCGAGCTCTGCTTATGGTAAACACGTTGGCTCCCTCCCCTGGGTGGTTTTTGACACTAGTTCTCGGGCAAGAGAATAGGACAAATTAACGCTGGTGATCACATCTGTTGGAGGGCAGTGGCCAAGTAAACATACAGACGAACTTGGCATAACCAACAGGTTCTTTTCTGGTGAATGCCAGTGTTGCAGGTGCGATAGAGCAGTGGTTACTTTTTACAGGGTTATACGGCTATCTGATAATAATCCTCATCAGAGTATAGAACATTCTAGGACCCCAGAGGACTACCTCGTGTCCCTTCCCAGAGCACCCTCTGTCCAAAGGCGACCACTGCGATGACCTGGATCCTCAGAGATTCTTCTGTTCTCCGTGGTTTTTAACATTCTATAAATGGACTGATCTAGAGTTTGAATTCATTATTCAACATGAAAAGATTCGTCCATGTCATGTGCTGTAGCAGTGGTAACAGTTCATTCTTTTCCATCGTCGTGAGCGTTAGAAACCCTCCCCGTCAAAGCTTGTCTGAAAGAAAGGGTTTTCTGAGCCGTCCACTGGCCAGACAAGGACCGGGTCCTGGCGCACACAGCCCGGAGCACCAGCAGCTGGGCCGGATGCCGGAGGCGGAGGACCCATCGTCCTGGAGCTGAGGGGTTCTTTTAAAGATGTAAGTTGTTTTGAAAGAAATTACACTGGCTGTAGATACCGGGAGGCAGAAAAGGTGACGCAGGGGCTGTTATGAAAAATATTGCCGTATACGATGGCTTTTTAACCACCCTGCTACTTTCGGGGGGTTTTTATTAACTTTTTTTTCCAATGTGTCCACAGACTTAGTCAAAAGACATCAGGATTCTACAATCAAGTTTTTCTACTCCTTGCCTTGTCTCCTGGGAGCAGTTCTTAGCACAAACCATGCCGTCTCACGTCTTTGTCCTTGGTGCCTAATTGCCTAGTTAACCCCGATTCATTCTCTTCTCTTTTTAAATTGTTATTCAAAAATACGGAAGCTTCACGAATATGCATGTCGCCCTTGCGCAGGAGCCATGCTAACCGGCTCTGTATTGTTCCGATTTTGGCACATGTGCTGCCAAAGCAAGCACCCTACTCACTATTATAAATCTCGGTATCCAAGTTCCTTGGATTCCTTAATACAAACGTGCACATGCGTACGAAGCATTAGGTTAGTCCTTGAATCCAGAGAGATAATGGGATGGACCAGGAGGAACTGCGTTTATCACAACACCAACATCGTGGACTCATGTTTCCCCCCAATGTTGGACAAAGCTGGCGCCATTTGCCCAGCAGGCCCACGACCCTGTTAGGCAGGATTGCCATTTTACTCTTCTGAGTTTATGCCCCCGGTACGTGAAGAGCAAGAACAGAACGTGACTAAACACCCCCCACGCATGTAGGCAAAAGCTAACATTGGAACAAACTGCCACTTATACAAAACCACCCAAAACCTCCTGTGTTGCAGGGTCCCCAACAGCCCAGCAGCCACACAACAGCAACCCTCCTACCCTTTCACAATCCCGTGAAAACTCAAAACCCCTACACCTTGCGCCTGGTGTCTCTCCCCACACCTAAGCCCCTTTCCTCCCTTGGAAATGAATAAACTTTGTTCTCTGCATTTTCTTCTCTTTGTGGATTCTTTCACAGCCCACGTCACCTCTAACATTCTTTATATAGACTTGATTCTTTTTTTAAGTCTTAAAAGGATATATTACTCATACCCTTACTATACTTCGAACCTCAAAAGGAGATGTGGTCATTTACAACATTTCTTCTCCTCCCCTGACCCTGTGATGTCACGTGCTCCATAGTTGTCAGTGTTTTTGGTCACGTGGAACCAGAAAATCTAGGAACATTTTCCTCATCCAATGACTCAAAGGCATTTGCTGGTGCTTCTCTCTCTCTCTCTTTCTCTTTTTAAATGACTCTAAGCCAAACACCATAGTCAACATTTCATGTATAATTCTACCATTCATGAGTTTGCTGTGTGAAAATAAGAATTCAACATACTAATGTATTAGTGGGTGGCCTTTTCTCAGGAAGTTACCTGCTTTTTGTTCAATCCATCGCTGGCGGGATTTTTCTCTATTTTCATTTTTACGTCTGGGCTTGGAAGGGAGAAAGGAGAGACGCTGATAGCGAGAGTGAAAAGGAAGCAAGAGGGGTGAGTGTTGGAAGGAAGAACGAAGGTGGAGACTGACCGTGAGGGGCAGAAAGAGCCGGGGGCGGCCAGCGGCCTGGCTATGCCATCGCAGCGTCCCCTGTCACCTCCTTTGTTGGGTCTCCTGAAAGGCAGCGGGAGAATGGGAGAAAAATTCAGTTTCTCTCCTGTTTTCCCAAGTATCTCTGCATTCATTTTAAAGGACTGTCCAAACACATTCCCTCCAAGTGCATCAGCAATGTATTCCGTCGTGGTTCTGGGGGCCCAAAGTGTAAAATTCAGGTGTCAGCAGGGCCACGCTCCCTCCAAAGGCTCTCGGGAAGTGTCACACGTCATGTTTAGCTTCTGGAAGCCCCTTGGCTTGTGACAACATCACGCCCGCCTCCATCTCCAGCGTCACGTGGCCCTCTCCCTGCAGGTCTCTGTGTGTCCTTCTCTGCCTCACAGAGATACTTGGGATTGGATTTAGGGTCCACCCTCACCCCATATTACATCTGCACAGGCACGATTTCCAAATAAGGTTGCATTCTGAGGTTCCAGGTAGACGTGAATTCGTGGGGGAGGGGCAACAACACCCCTCAACCCATTGCAAGCTTCTCGGAAATTCTACTGCTTCCGCCTTTGATAAAAGTATATGCTGAACTATTTTCTTTTCATTTGAAAATATGTTTATTGATTTTGGAGAGAGAGGAAGGGAGAGACAGAGAAACATCGATGTGAGAGAGAAACATCGATTGGTTGCCCCTCCTATGTGCCCCACCCAGGGATTGAACCTGTGACCTAGGTGTGGGCCCTGACCAGGAATCAAACCCCAGCCTTTGGTCCACGGGATGACTCTCCAACCAGCTGAGCCACACCAGCTGGGGCTCTACCTCGCTACTGATTAGAAACACTCAGCTCATTAATTTTACTAAAGTGAACTAACATAGAGAAAAAGACGGAAATCGGTGGATTCTCACAAAGTGAGCCTGCCCATTTAGCAAGCGCCCAGGTCAAGATACAGCATGTTCCTGGTATGGATAGGAACGATATCTTTTCTTTGTTTTCCATTAAGTTAAAAGATAATTTTGCTTGTGGTAAAATCCACATAAAAGTTACCATTTACCCATTTTTAAGTGTGTCATGTAGTGGCAGCAAGCGCTCTCAGCTGCCAGCGGCCACCACCCCATCTGTCTCCCGAACTTTCTCATCTTGTGAAACTGAAACTCCGTCTCTAACGAACACGAATTGCCCACCCGCTCCACCGACATTTGGTAGCCGGTCGCCCTGCTGCTTTCTGCCACTCGGGACTTAGCCACTCTGGACCCCTCACATACATGGAATCGTGCAGGATGTTTCCTTCCGAGGCCGGCTTAGTGCACGCAGCGTATTGTCCTCAGGGCTCATCCATGTGTTGGAATCTCCTTCCGTCTTAGGGCGAAAACAATATAGAAACCGTGTTCTCTTCAAAGGCGATTATACATGCCCATCTTCGGAGTTTTTATGGGTAAGTCTTTACTTATCTTCAACCCAGATTCTAATTAACAACAAAAAGTATGTTTCTTTTAGTGTTTTCCTCCATGATACTTAGAGATTTCTGTTTTTCAGGTGTTTTAACCAGAATCTAGCCCTTCTGCTAGTTGTGTGGTTTGGGCCCTGTTAACCAGCCTCCTGTGTAGTTTAATTATCCCCTTGAATCTACAGGAAAGCTCAGAAAGTAACAGGTTTCACAGTAAATGAGATTAACTAAAGGGACAATCTTAATTCTTCTTTCTCTTTTTGCCCTTGGCCCAAAGGCAGAACCCAGCCTCCCAACCCCCCCATTTGCCTGCAGGATTTGGATTGGACCCAGTGTCCTCCCCCCCACGGCCCCTGAAAACCAGCGGGATTTGGTGTTTTGTTTTAGCACACTTGCTCATTGTTTTGGAAATACCGTACATTCCAGGTGATTCAAAGCTTCTGGAATAAACAACTCACCTTTCTCTAGAAAAGACCCAAGGAAGAGATGAGTTCCCGGAGGACTGGGGGGAAAAAACCCAGCCAAGATGAGAAGACAGAGAGGAATGTAACTCCACATCCCTGTTAGGCACTCTCAGAAGAATAGATCCTAATTCATTTTCGTCATGGATAGTCTCCTGCCACCTTTCCGTACAAACGTAGCACCTTACTTGGCATAGATAAAGGATCTGTTTCCCTTAATCTGTCAGCTGTGAAACAGGTTTTTTACCATAGGTGACTTAGTCACTTATTTTCATAGTTTACACAGTATACAACGACTCACTGCCAAGAAATACAGTAAGATTAAGATCAAATCCAACAACAATTCAAGTAGTAATCCCTAAATTTAACCTCTAAGTGTACTTATAAACACCGCCCCCCGCCCCCACATCATCCTCCTCTGAAACCGTCCTCTGCGGGAAGCGAGCAGGCGCCTTCGGGGGGCCCTGGCAGGGCTTTCCAGAGCCCCGGACACGGGGGACAGGGCCGGTGGTGGGGCGAGAGCCAGCCGGCGCTGGGCTTCCCCCCAGTCCCAGCCGAGGCGGCGGAGGCGCAGGCCAGCCCCCGAGGCTCTGAGAACAGAAGCACTGGCCTGCAGGCCGCGAACTGGCCCCTGCACGGGGCAGGCACATTTCCGCAGCGCCTGGTGGCAGCTCGGTGTCCAAGGGGTTCGCGTGCAACGCTCAGATCCCGAGAGCAGCCTCCCTGACCCAGGGGTGTGGCCAGCGATCCCGTCCCGCCTGTGGCTCTCAGAGCTGGCCAGCCTGTAATTATCTCAGCGTTGGACCCCAGGCAGGCGCGCCTCCCAATACGAAGGCCGGCTGGAGGCAGCAGGGCGGGAGGCCGGGTGCATGGGGGACCCATGCGTGTGCGCACACGCCGTCCGTGCCCGGCCCTGGGAGTGAACCGCCTTGGAGGGAGAACTCCTCATCGTCAGTGTGCCCCTGAGCACTGACGTGCCTGGGCCTGGCTTCCTCAGAGCCTCGAGCCCGCATCGGTGAGGGGAGTCGGGCTGCAAGCAGTGGAAAACCCGGCTAGGAATGGCTTCGCGCGACGCCAGCATTTACTCTCCCGCTCGGTCAGAAGTGCGGGATGAGCTTCCCTGAGCTTGTTCCTTCCATCACTCTGCTGGTCCCTCCTCAAGGGCTCAGCTGCCCCAGGTGTTACCTCCTTGGGCCAAACTTTCCAAAGGTTCTTGTCTTGTCTTCTCTTTTTTAATCGAGGTGCAATTTACATGACATTGAATGAGCCCTTTTTAAAGTGAACAATTCAGTGGCCTTTAGCCCATTCACAATGTTGGCAACTACCACTTCTGTCCAGCTCCAAACATTTTAATCACATTTTTAGAGAGAGGGGAAGGGAGGGAGGAAGAGAGAAGCATGGATGTGAGAGAGGAACACCGATGACTTGCCTCTTATATGGGCCCCAACTGGGGACTGGCCTGGAAACCCAGGCGTGTGCCCTGATGAGGGATCGAGGCGACCTTTCGTTCCTGGGTGACACCCAACCACTGAGCCCCACCGGGCAGGGTGTCGCCAGCATTCTTGAGGCATGGAGGACAACGCCAGGGAGGGGAAAACGCAGGCCTCAGCGTGAATGTGTTGAGAAGTGACCGTGGGAGTCAGATTCCATTCTACACGTGAAAACGTAGGATCACCGTAACTAATTCCAGTTACATTTTCCTTTTCATAGATGCACAAGAATGCTATAAAGAATAAAAAACCAAAGCCTGAGACCAAAAATACCAAATGGAATTTTTCACTGATAAGACAGAAGTGTGCTGTTGTTTCACCGTATTAGTTTCCTTTCTTCATGGCCTGTGAGATAATGATGCGCTTTCTAACATGTGACATTTTGCACTTGATCTGAGACAGCATGCTCCAGAGGCTTGCGGGTTTCCAGATCTTGCTCACCTCTCTGGGCTGCTTCTGGAACTTGCATTACCTCGGC